TCGAGATTCTTTAATGTTTTGTTCTGACAAAGCCTTGACATTTCTGAGGCTTGTTTCTGGGGTTATTTTGGGTCCCCAGGTTAGGATTGAAATTCGATGTATTAGAATATTGAGTGAAAATAAAATTTATCTGAAATTAGGGTTGCGCTGAAGATTCACGCTTTCGTCTGTTTCTTAAAATCTTGATAAATATTATCTTATGAGATTTTTCGACAAATAACATTTTTTTAAGAGTTACAAAAAAAAATCAAATCTTTTTCAAAACATTTCTGGATTCGCCAAACTACCTTGAATTACGCAAAATATAAAAATTTTCTCCAAAAAATTAATGAAAGGTAATAAATTTCTGGTTGCAAAACTTCTTTAACATAAAATACGCAACACGTAATAGTGAGTTATTGTATTTATTTTCGTAAATAAATGTAAAATTTTAAAATATCGTTCAAGCTGGTTCAAGCATCGAATATTGACGAGTGATCACCATTGAAAAAAATGTCAAGTTTAAATATTTCTCAATAATCGTTAAGCAGTTGATTGGCGATTTACGTTAATCTCAATTTTTTTGAAATTAGTGAATTACTATTAAGATAGGTCAGGTTTGATTTTGGATTAAGTATCAGCATGTGATCAAATTATTGTAATAAAATCAAATATTAACATGTGAATTTGTGAAAATTGTTCCAAAAAATATGAAAGTAAAGCTTTATTATAGGTTCGTATTAAATAATAAATTTAGTCTGAAAAATATAGAATCCATGCATATGTAGCTGAAAACAAGTTTCTTTCGATTTCAACGAGACACACAAAAATGACAGAGCAAGAGATTAAAGAAAAAGATTTCCATATAGAGACTGACTTAGTGAAGAATGAAAGTGAAATTATTTATTTTTATTTTTATCTTTCCTTCTGTAATATACATTGAATGCATGCATAATTTTTTTTATGCTAAATGAGATCATTTTCATGTTCAACATGAAGAGAAAGGCAAGAACCGAAAATCATGCGTTTATGTGGAGCGTAAAGATAAGAGTATATAGGTCTTGGCTGTCTTGACTGCGATTAGTAATCTGAATTACTTTTTATTCGTGGAAATAGACTGATCAGGTTAGTGCAAGTTTGACGCAATATCACAAGACATACATGCTTTTTTATGTATATACTTAGATGCAATAATTGAAATTGAAACTATATCTAGCTATTGTAATGCACGAGCAAGCAATCAAACTTTTATGAAAAATTTCTTTTTAATTTTAATTCCATATAATTATATGGAACCGAATTATATGAATTCTTATAGACTCAGAAAATGTCAAATCGTTTTGCAGTCTTCTCATATAACCATTGAGCACAGCCACAACTTAAACAAATGTATATAAATATCCAACACATATCTCCATTTCGTTATTTATTTTAATGTGAGAAAAGGTCTCTCCAAACAATTGAACTCAAACTGTCATAATGAACATACTATTTCTCAATGAACTGCTGTTATTGTCTGTTTGCCATCCACGCTTTTCTCTCTATGCTTTTTTTTTTTGATAATAAATAAACTTAAAATAAAAATTTCTTCATTTTGCTTAAATTACTCGAAAATAAAAACTGTGCAATTAATTTCAGCTATTTCTATTGTCTTTCACAATCTTTTGATTTGAACTCACTAGATTATTCGTAGTAATTCCACTATATCAATTTCATCTTGCTTCATCTTAGAATTTATCATTTGCTTGTCATTGATTTGGATTTTTCCTTGATTGTTAAAAATTGTTCAATTAGTCATGATTCTTGCTTATCTTATTTATCTTATAGAGTTTCCAAAATTATCGGTAAAGTCTTTTCACTGAAGCTTGTCTGAAGCTACTTTGTTTTACGCACCTGAGTCCCATTTATTGATGCTTCAATCTAGATAGCAGATCAATAACTTGTTTCATTAATTTACATTATTCGTCTTCAATTTGTGTTAATTAAACATATTTATTGAATAGCACAGAATAAAAGTTTGGACAGAACAAATTTGCAGATCAGGCCATAATAAAAAAATATAGGTATCAGTTGATATTTTAGATTTAAATGTTGGCGAGTCAATAAACGGACCATTCAAATATTAAATACCCATTTTATAGTGCATCTACATTTTAGGCATAATAAATCTTGTTAAAAGAATACGATCATGTTTTTTTTAACAAGCTACAGCAAACATTTTTATAGCATCTGTATTCGTAATAGAATTTTATTATGGGTTATTAACTTAGAAATATTTTTTAACAGTTTCTGTCATGAAATCCAGGTGAATTGCAAAAATATCAACCAAATTAAAATAAGATTTTTTTCATGTGATCTATAGATACACATGATATGAATAATTAATGAATTTCATCACTTGAAAGACGTGAGAGCTCGCTTAAGAATTTTTAATTGGTAGATTGACCTTTCCTGGTATTTTTTTTCAGTTGCTGTTGGTGTTTAAAATATTTTCAATTCAATACTTAAAGTGAGCTACAAAACATTTGAAACTTACACGCGTATTAATGAGAATTTCATTCATAATTGTCTTTCTTCCTCATTGTCTCATGAAAGGCATTAGGTTTCTGAATAATTCAACTTTTAACTTGTTTACTTTATGTGCAAATAAAGTCATAAGAAAAAAAAAACTTACAGACTTGCACAAGATTGTTTTTTGTTTGCAGATTTTTATATTTTATGGAATGAAAAAACACTTGCTATACTGCCACACTGCCACAAAACAATCAAATCCTTCTTTCTTGAATGAAAGTTGCATAAGACTTGATTCATAGCTTGAGCTTGTGCATTTGTTTAAGCCATAATCTCTGTGTCATAAACACATGAAGAATTGGATGAAATTGCATATAATGAATGACTGTAGAGAAATAATCAGCACCTTTTTCACTTACTCAAGGTCGAGTTCTCTTTTGTTAATAAAAGTAGTTTTATTTTTATTTACGCATTAAATGCTCAAAACAGTAGCACAACTCGTGGTAAAAATATTCGGATATTTTTATCAGATTGAGGTCATAAAAATTCGAGTGACTGCTTACTTATGTTTTGTTGTGAATATATTTTCCTTGGTTTAGTTTAATTCTTTTATTACTTACATCTTTAATGAACTCATTTCATGTGGATAATCTCACCAAAATCAGATTATTTTGTTTTTAATCTTGAACTTGAGAGCTAAATAAGTTTCGATAGAATCTCAAAAATGTCAAGATCTATAGCCTTACAATAAACAATAGTCCGTAAATTTCTTTTTGTTTACTCTTTAAACATTTTTGTCAATTCTATATACTTAAAAATGTTTCATAATTTATGCTAATATTTTGATAGATAAAACCAGTTACAAATTCACAGAATCGACAAACTTCCTTGTCGTCTTCTGAATAAGGTCATCATATTGCTTTTCATTGAACTTTTATCGTAATTTATTTTTTATATTTGAGAAGAAGCATTTAATGCAAAATGAGAAATTAGCACGTCCGATTCAATTTTGAAATTCATCTTGTTATTCATTCCCTATTTAACACGTAATAAACAGAGAAGTAAGAAATATTAACACTTTTATTATTCGTTGAAGCTTATCATGCATAATGTTGAATAAAATATAACACTGCTTTTAAACAAGGCATGGATACTTTGGATTCATCCTGAATAATATTCATGGATCTATGGCTTCTTTATGGATCTTATTATGGCTTTTTAAAAGAATCAAAATTATCCAAATTGAAGACCCACTCATATTGTCCAAATCTTCACGACATGATTTTTGAATGTTTAAATTATTTGATTTTGCACTTTTAAATTTGCTCAAGAGTTTCGGATAGATGATTTCCATTTTTATGATGCCTACACTCTTATGATAGATTAATTATTGTATAATGGTCTCATTCCATTTCATCTACAAATAAGCTTAGATAAAAATCGTATACGATTTTTAGTGCATGATATGAATAAATACGAGATGAATCGGAAGATCCGAGAAAGTGTTATGCAATGACCGGTAAATTTTACCTACTTTCTGTGTTGTTCGATTTCTTTCGTTCCGTCATCGTGTTTTGTTTATAAAGTCAATGGAATGTTAAGCATATATGTATGAGAAACATTCCTGTTACCTTCAAATATTATAATGTTCCCATATTAACAAGATCTCACGGTGCAGTCAGATGCTGGCTAAGATTATGCAATTCACAATAGTTCACCTACATATTACCTGCATGAATGTTTGAACTTCATTTTCATAATTTTTTTTCCTAATGTACTGCCAATAAGCATTTTTCATTTATCAACACACAGCACGCATGAAATTGTAATAAATTGTATGGACAAGATTTATGAATTTAGTGCATTTCGCAAAATGGCAAATTAAATTTATTAAAACAGAAATAAGGTTAATTGATTTAAGAAATGCTTTAATGCTGAATGGAATAATTTTCATTGAGAAAAATTTCGTCACAAATTTCTAATGCTATGCTTATTCGAGGATCAGCATGAACTTTATTGCTTTCAACAGCATGCATGCAGCATAATTTTTATTGAATTGCCATCGAGACATCAAAAAATAAATTCGAGCATTATTGATCGTTAGCCTAAAGTAGTGAAGATCCATCACTTAGATTTAATGGGAATTCAATAAGAATTTGAATTTCTTAAGCAACAGACACATGACGTCTATTGCAAATTTTCAATTTCATTTTATTATAAATTTTACAAAAACGGAAAATAAATTGATTTTTATAATACTTTTTTTGCTGTCTGCTGTCCCACATTAGTAATCTTTATGATCGCACTCTGTAAATACGAGTTTTGCATTTAACAACGACATTTGAGATACTTTATATTTCTGATTTTTTGAATGAGATCTGTCTGTTATGGCTGAATTGTCAACCAGGCAAAATTAAAATTCGATTACTAAACTTCCCATATTGCTGAAATTTTCAATAATACTTAAACGAGTTTATTTATAAGGAAACATAAATTTATTAGAAAATAGTTTATAAGTTAATTGGTTTTTGGTACATTTGAGATTATAGGACGTGGACGTTGATTGAACAAAAGCTTTTTCTTAATTAATGCTAGAACTTTATATTCAACTAGTGGCTTGGATCTATTCTCAACATTGACTGTTGTGTCGAGTATTGAAAGAGATACGTTTGGTTGAGTGTCATTTATGATCGTTTCATCAAACCTTATTTCTTCTTCTTCTTCCTCGTCATCATTATTTAATTGTTTTGGAATCTTTTGTATCACAGCCAATGGCTTTTCAAGTTTGATTTCTTTTCCAAAGAGAATATGATGACCAATTATTAATACCTAAATGCAGAGCAAGAAAATTTATAAGGTTGAAGTTTAATTTCGTTAAATGCAATTTTTGAGCAGCATGAGAAAACTTACTGGATGTCCATACTTGTTATAAATTAAATCTCCTGTATTCAACAAAACTTCATTAAGTATTTAAACTTTTGAATTAATTTATTATATTCTTACCGACAAAATTTCCTCCAGCATTCACTGATTCATTTCTACTTTCTAAATCTCCTTGCACTTCCAGCATCATATATTCATTAAGTGAATTTGGACTTTTGATTATCACTGCTGGCATATTACTGACACTATTATTTTTATTAAATGCACAAAAGAATTAATTTCCTTTACAATCTGCTTTATTTTGATTTTTAAAACAAAATTGTCTACTGCTTCATTTTCCGCGAATTTTAGGTCTACAGGTTCTACAGCGAACAATTTTAAAAATATTCTTACTCGTTTTTTTTTTCTTAAACAATCCCTTAACTCGATGTTTGATGCCTGATTAAATCCTAGACACTGCATTTTAGTGAAATGCTTAAATGGTCATGAAACTGTGAATCAATAAAGTTTTTTAGGCATCTAGAAACATCCAGTGAATTATTTTTGATCTTCAAAATTATCATATTTTAATGCATGCATAAAAGAGTGATTTATCTTTTTATTTGAATGTCATCTTCATAGATTCGTTAGTATTTATTGCTATCATTAAGCTAATGCCTCAAAATAACATCATTACTTTTATAAATAAATCCTCGATGGTCATGACATGTCAAATTTCTTTATTAGAAGAAAGGTCGAAGAAGTTGCAGTTGAATGTCATGAGTTTATTGGAAAAATCAATCATATCTAAATATTTATATTTTTATAAATAAATACAATTTGATGCTAAGCTTCGTCTTATGCAACATGTTAATATTCATATACAGCATGTTAATTTTTTGAGAAATAAGTATGCCGCTTGTGCACATTTTGACTAGATAATATTATAATGAGATATTAGAGAACAATTTTTGCGAATTATAATATAATGGCTGAATATTTTATTGATATTTCCCATAAAACATACTAAAATTATGATTACTGATGATCCATTGACCCAAATCAACAACAACTTTGTAAGCAATAATTTTTGTTACCAAAGGTCAGTTATGGCTTGTGGAATATTTCTCTCACTCTGCATCTTTTATATTAAGTTAAGCATATAGTTACACATATAGAAATGCATAAAAATACACACTTGTTGATCATGCCACCACTATTTTTTTTAAATTTTTCATTAGAAATGCATCAAGCAATCGCAGAAATAAGCAGCAACAACAAAAACTTATACTCATTACATATTCCACGAGCGTCATTAAATTCTTCTTCCTCGTCCGGTGCATCAAGTATAAGTCGTTCAAGAGAATTCTCTCCAAATTTAATACATCAGAAAAGGCATGGAAGACATACAGATGATATTGGCAAGGCAGAAATCGAGAGCGAGTGGGATGAACAAAGTAACGCGAATACATTTAGTGAAGAAGATGGTAAAAAGCCATCAGCACGACAAAAAGGAAGTCAAAAATATTTTGTACATAAGGTGCGAAAAGCTAATCTAACAGCTACTCAAAGCTCCTCATCATCATCATCAGCGAGTAATCAAAGTAATCATGTAAGACTCATCAATATTGCTTAAGCTATCAGATTTGCATGACATGACATTTCATTTTAGAGCGTGAATTCACTACTGCTAAGTGTCAAGAATTTAGAAAACTTTAATAGCTTATCAACTGACAATGTAGTCAACAGCAATAAAATTTACAACACAAGTGATAATCTTTACAGGAAGCAAATGCTAGAAAATATCAAAAACATTTTGGCTATTGATAGTGCGGAATCAAAGAATAATAAAAAGAAAAAGGAACCTGATCAAATATCGACTTCAAGTACTGCGACTAATACTAATTTTACGGGTAAGTATGTATTCGATTCTTTACTACTAAAGTGGATTTCTGGAGTGGATCAACTCTGGAACCAACCCTCATCCCCCACCCTCTTTTTAGAATAGTCGGTCTATATGCATGATTGATGACATATAAGGATATAATCCACTTTAGTATATTCTTCATATTCCGTAGAAATGTATTAATAGCCTGCATTGTTCCGTTCTTTAGTGATAACATTTAATGGATTTGATAAAACCGAGAATAAAAAGTCTCGAGCAATATGCCGTCGGCGACATCAAGTCACAATACTTATCATATGTATGACATTTCTCCTATTCATTGGAATTTCGAGTGCTGTATGTATGCTAGAAATGCGTTATCAAAAAATGCCTAGATGATGCTCCTTTCGTATTAAGTATAAGTTATACGAGCGAATAGTGTCAACGGATTTAAGTTAACATGAAATATACATCCGCATCTGTTGATACGACGTCTTGGTTAAACATATTAATTTCTTGTGATTTCTTCTTTTATGGAACTTTACCATTAGATTGTAGCGACAAATTTATCTGTTATTGAAATAGAGAAAAGTGAAAATACTGAAATAAAAATAACTTAGTCGATAAGATAATAAAAAGCCTCACTGTGGATTATTTTTTCTTACATTTAGTTAAAATTTCAGTTAATATTTTTCATCATTTTTTTGTGATAATATTTTTTTTTGACAAAAATTAAAGTAATTAAAAACTTTTCACTATCATTCATAATTTTTTTTTTCTTATAGATTTAGCTAGATTTTTTCTTAATCGGAACCTTTTGTTTAATGATCTATAATTGTAATTTCATCATTTATCAAAATAATTTTTGTTTCCAATATTTTTTTTAAGCATAAAGCAGCAACTACCTACAAAATTATGGTCATTTCTTTGATAATTTGCTTAGTGAGCATCCGAAAAAGTTTGAAGCGTTCCGATTAAAAATCATCGAAGCATATTTTGTCTTATCAATTTCTTTTTTTTTCCCGTTACATAAATACTTTATGTCTAAAGAAGTGGGAACTTTCCATTTAGTAATCTCTGTCCAAAATTAATTCAAGTTTACCTCAAGAATTATATGCTGCCATTAGCTTAGCAAGTTTGATGATTAGTATCGAGCTTTCGGATACATTTGACTATATTTTTATTAAAATCCGAGAGCTTAACATGATTAAATAGTAAGGACAACTGCATTTTGGATTATTATTTGGAAAGTCAGAAAGTTCCCAATCCTAATAGACAAAGTCCATTTTTAAATACATACATTGATTAAAATCATGAAATGAAGAATGAAAGGTTTTTTATAAAATAAAAATAAGGAAGAAGCTCACAAGTAAATAAACAGTTTTCGACAATGATTTAATCTTGTTTCATTCATTCACAATTAGGTAAATGTTTGGGTCAAATATATTTCAGTAGTTCATAGTAGTATCTACAGTTTTCTTTTAATAATAAACATAATGTTTTTAATTTTTAATTATAATCAATAATAAAACGGAAAAGTATTAGAGTTCGTTCGCATATATGACGTCTAGCTGTCAACTCATTATAAAGTTTTTTTCCTTCTATTTAAGATTTTGTGATCTACATAGTTGGTATGTATGGGATTGTCATCTGTGAACGATCTCTTAGCATTATTATTATTACTCATTTCCATTTTCTTCTTTGCTTCATTTTAATAAAAATGATAATTTTAATCCCTAACAGACAATGTCACTTCCTTATTGAGTACACAGCTATGATCTTTGTAGAGTTGTCCCCTGTGATTTTTAATAGCAGGCACATTATGTTTTTATTCTCAAAAGTAAGAGAAACTGACTTATTACGAAATTTGACAAAATCCTACGAGTACAAGTCGAGTTCTTCGAGAAGCTTTAAATAGTCAGCTTCTCTAATTTTAGAAGATATAGTTTTAAATGTCAGTGCTTCTAAAAATCACAGCTCACCATTCTGAATGTTTTTAGTGATTAAATACAGACTCAATAGGAGCATAGTCACTGTCTGCAAGGAACCGTTCATAATGTATTCTTTTGTTATACATAATAAATGATAGCAGCAGTAAGAAATGCACGTGTGAAACAAATTAAAAAGGAAATGAAGATTACACAATATTATTATTATTATTATTTTTTTTGTTAAGAAAACATAAACATTTTGCTTCATTTAAACTTTTTAACAGCTTAAGTTAATTACTGATTTTTTATATATTTTTTTTTGTGTGTTGTAGTTGTCACCAAATAAGCGAAGGAGAAGAGAAAAATTAAAGAAATTATTTATTATATTCTATATCATCATGCTTCACCGGTTAATCAAATTATGCTCTAAGAATTCATTTTCGTTTTTTCATTGTTTTTGTTTCCATTAATTTGTTTTGTGTTACACATGTATTTTTTTTAGTAGAAAAAGGTTTTACATGCTTTTGTGTGTATGTAAATCATTTAATTGATGCATTTGACGACTTTCAAAATTTGCCGACAGAGGAAGGATGTCTCTTTTCATATATATCATCATTATACAAAAGAACGAATCTTACATTATGCATAAATGATTATTAGTTTGTGTTGTAAATTGGCGACACTTTATGTTACTGGTTAATGGTTTAACTTTATGTCCACTTTTTAATCAACATTGAATGAAAAGATTTTTTTTGATTCTTTCTCTCTTCTTCTATTTTTTTGTACGACTTTTCGACATATTTTTTTTAACGAAAAAACTGTATTTTTAATAAAATTTTGGTAAAACATAGAGGCAGACAGAAGAAATATTGATGGTAGTGGCTTTAAGTAGAAAAAAATCATTAGCTTAAAGCAACGTGCATCGACGTTTTTCCTTTGGCTTAATTACTGGACACAACACAGCACGAATGGCTTCATCGAAAACAGTTTTCAAGCCCTTCTGAGTCAATGCTGAACATTCTAGATATTTTACCGAGCCAATCTCTTTGGCCATAGCCAGACCCTTTAAAAGCACAAGAAACGAGATAAAATGAGCAAAAATGTTCAGTATTGCTAATAGAAAAAAAAAATAACTCTACCTGTGGATATGTAATTGGCTGTAATTTCTTGTCACGCAATTTATCAATTGTGTTCTTATCATCTCGTAAATCTAATTTTGTTCCAACCAAAATAATTGGAGTTGATGGACAATGATGACGGACTTCTGGATACCATTTAGCTCTAACGTTCTCGAATGAAGCTGGATTTACCAATGAAAAACATATTAAGAAGACATCGGTTTGTGGATAAGACAGTGGACGTAGTCGATCGTAATCTTCTTGACCTGCAGTATCCTGGAATGAAAAAATAATATCATTAATGCTGTCAAACGAGGCACAAAAGTGTGTATTCTCACCCAAAGTCCTAAATTTATTGGCTTTCCATCAACCATTACATTTGCTGAATAGTTATCGAAGACTGTCGGAATATATTCCCCTGGAAATGCATTTGTTGTGTAACTGATAAGAAGACATGTCTTACCGACAGCACTAAAGGCGCAACAGAAATGATAGAATGCATTAGCAACATATTCAGTATAAAAATGAATTTGATCAATTTAATTTAAATTAAATCAATTCTTATGATTTAGTGTGCATATGGGTCATCGCCGCATTCACAGACATACACAATTTATGTTCATCACTCAGTCAATCATGTTTTATGTGTGAGAAGAAAAAACTTGACCCTTTCATGTTCGTTGGATATGCGTAAGACTGCACATAAAACAAATGATAAATAAATAAATAAAAAGATTCTAAACTTACCCGTCACCAACAACTACACATTTGATGGCCTGCATAATTGTTATGCGATTGTATCAAATATTTAAAACTTAATTATCCTATCAAAAAATGCATGGAAAAAGAGGAAAACGGGAGAAAGAGAGAGATGAAGAAGAAAACATAATATTAAATTGAGAATCATTTCATACAGATATAAATTTTATGTAAGTTTAGAAGTGATCACAAGCTGAGTATAGACTATAGACAGCCAAAAATCACTAACTCCAACATTAAACGATGAATGAATTTTTATATATACACATTTTTTTCTCGAGGCTCATAATGTGGGAGATGTTTTAAATTGGATATACAGAAAAAATCTGCCTGTATTAATTCTGAAGGTCAATTTTCTCAAGGTATCTATCGAGAAAATTTTCACTAGTGAATTTTCCATAAAGATAAATGCTCAATCACTTGTAATTCACAAATTAAAACTCCTTTAATAAAAAACAGAAGTAATTTATGCTATGCAATGCAATATTTTGCTGATGAATCACTTGCTTGAGACTCTTTTTTTCTTGTGGTAATAAACTTTGGAACTTGTTCAATTTTCGCCCACATTTTTGCACACTTGTTGTGCGTAATTATCATAAACATCACTAGATTCTACATATCTAATAGATTACTATCTGATATACTATTTAATCATCTTCATTTTGGGCGTTCTGTTATTAATTTTTTTTTTTTCTTTCTTATATGGTCTTTGATTTAAAACTTTTGCATCGGAATTTTCATAATTATTCAACACATTTCCACCAAACTTTCAACTTACAAGGCTACTTAATGATTATATGTAGTAAATTAGAGTTACTTTAGTACTTTTTAAACACAAATTCTATGAATTTTAATAATTTTTTCCTAATAATTTACTCTGACAAAACAAAATTTTACAAAACTTCAGGGGCTGCAAACTCAGCAACAATTATTGTTGCACAAATATATCCACAAACTATTTTGTCACAGAACCGATGATTGATGCTCTGATCTATTTAATTCATAATTCTTTATTCTCATCAATCAATATAAAAGTGCTATTCGAAATCATCCTCTTCAGCTATTTATCTGAATTTCTCAATGTTTTGTGAAGTTTTTCATCCCTTCATTTCATTTCTACAATACATTAGCTGACTAGTGCTGAATACAGCATGTAGAATTTAAAATTATCGGATTCTTATGTTACTCAACTAGAGCGTGAATTTCTTTAATTTTGTGATATTTATTGACTTGATTATTATTTAAGGCAAAATATAAAAGAATTGAGTACAGAAAATCAGTTTGACAAAATGGTGCAGAGCGTATGAAGAAAGTCGTGACATTTAATTAAATTTGCATTTTGAGAAATCCATTTCAGGATGTTGTGTCATGAACTTTGATAATATGTCTTGCTTCTTTTGATCTTCACTTGTTGGAAGTCCCATTTCTTTTTGACGCTGATCATACATCATTTTTTCGACCATCGATCTTGTTTCTCCGTCCAAATCTGATAGTTTTGATGGCTCAGGATTAATTTTGCGAGTTGAAATTGGTAGATCTGATTTAATAATTTTATCCCACCAACTCATTTTGTTGATTTTCTCAAAAGTAACTACAATCGTATTCTTATCAATTGTCCAAAGTGAGTCATCAGTCTTAATTTCAGCATAAAGCTCGCCATCTATAACAGGTGTTTGATTTTTCAATCCAACCTTGATGTTCTTCTTTGTCAATACTACACATACATCTCTTGCCTTTAAATTTGCAATGTTCTTAAATGGAACTCGTAGCTAAAATGTTGACTCAAATGTTAATAAAAACAATAATTTTGTTTAAATCTCTATTGATTACCTCAACTTCCTGTAATGATTGTGTCCAACGGTAATTCTCTAAATCACATCCATTTCCTTCATTTGGTTTCAATTTTTTCTTTTCTTCTTCATCCAGCTCCTCATCTCCTTCCTCAGTAAGTGGCTTTGAAACTTCTGGTATCTTTTCATTAATCTTTTTACCATCAATTTCTTTTTGCAGATTTTCAGCTTCTTCGTCAGTCAATTCTGTAATTGTAGCTGATTTACTTTGAGCTGCTGCTGCTGCTTCTTCCTCTTCTTTCTTCTTCTTAATGGTGTCTTGACGTCTCTTTTCGGCTTCCTCTTTTTCACGTCTCTTTTGCTTTGCTGCTTCTATAGCTTGTGCACCTTCCTTTTTGAACGTATTAATCAAAACCTAAGAAGAAAAATCCAGAAATCTTAACCTTTTATTTATAACTTGTTCATATCATATTCCATACTTTTTCCCATTCACCATCATCTCCTCCAGTAAAAAAGTCCGTTTTACGTGCCAAAAATCCAGCGATAGTTTGAAGAAGCTGTAATTTATTAAATTTTAAAATGTCATGATTCAGAGAAAAAAATGATTTTATTCATTAATTAAATCTCACATCTAAAACACCAGATGGATGCTGTTCTGCCAGTGAAAACAGCAAGCCATCAAACCGTTGCTCACGCTCGTTCTTATCCATTATTATTCAATTTTTTAAACGCTTGTTTTACCAAGTATCTTGTTTACTACTTACTTACACTTTTTTTGTTGTTAAGCAAAACAAATAAAAATTTTGAATTTAAAAAATACGGTACTTTATTTAGTGATTTAAAGGAAGTTTGTAATTAATACAAGATATATCTCAAGTTCTAGAGAGAGACATCTTTAAATTCACATTGGAAATTCTTTCTGCTTATTTTGTCCTTCTGTCCAGGCTTTGGCAATTGTTCTTTTCATTTCTGGATCACCAGTCTCATACATTTTCTTCATCATATTCATCAACTGATTTCCTGAATCGGCTGCATCTTCATCATTCTTATCAAACATTTTACTTTTGCTTTCCTTTAATCTCTTCTCAGTTTTTGTTAAGCATCCCCAATTTTCACCTTCCTTAACCTTTTTTAAGTACACAGAAACCATGTCAGACTTAACTTTTTTGTAGCTCTTTTCAACATTGACTGTTCTGAGCAGTGAAGTGGCAACAAATCGATGATTTTTGTTCGGGGTTTGAATCACTAAGGAAAATGAATCCTCATTTAAATCTAGTTGAACATCTTCATCCTTTATTTGTGTAGCATCGAACGGAATGTAAAGCTTCACAAACTTGTCTGACTCATCAAATGCGTGTTCCTAGACATTAGTAGATAACATTAGTTACAAAACATGTTGAAATCATTTTAAGCCATTAAATCACCTTAATATCTACAGTTATCTTTGTCGGTGCTTTTGATGCTTCTTCTTTAGCCAATTGCTTCATTTGAATCTCTCTAATTTCATTGTCAATACTATTTATTTCCTTTTGTAGCAAATTTTTCACGCGATCTTTTGTTGCTGTATCTTTTAATGCAATTAATTCTTGCTTAATTGCTTGTAATTCACTCGTCTGAAATATTTAAAACATAAATTTATATTTTAGTTCCGCTTTCAGTTTATTATAATTACTTAAAGCTTACCTTATCCGTCATATTTTTCAATTTCTTTAATTATTTGTTTGTTTATAGAAATTCACCGATTTTTCTCGATTGCAGGGCTTGAATATAATTTTGAAAATTAAAAAGCCGCTAGGATATTTGAAAATTTGAGATCAGTTAAGAACTCTAGTGAATAACAAAGTCATGCTGTCCTAAGTTTTAACTTTATTTAACATTATTAATATATAATTTTTGATTACATTTTGTTTGAAGTTTTTACTTTTGCATTTTTTAATGTTTCAATTTATCGTCAGTAAATATGCGTAAACTACATTTTGTGGCCTCAAAAGAGCTTATTTTCTCTTAATATTCTTGTTTTAAACGACTAATTATTGTCAGAATAAAAGGACATTCCAATCTTTTCAGTTTTCGTAGAATCCATTTGTAAGATTTATATATTTTCCGAATAAGGAAAATGACAAAAGGCTGATTTTTCGTAAAATATTTCGTCATTTCATGATTCGGAAATAAATAAAAATTAATTGATGTAATACACTTTTAGCCTCCATTATGAGGTTGTTATCATCTATTTTTGTATATATATAATTTATATAATAATTTTAGCATCAATTTTAATTGACATTTACTTCATTTAAAATATTATTATTTGGGTCTTTTCGTCGTAAATATATATTTAAACAATAAAACATGTCAAAAACTTTTGACTCAACTGTCATGAACTTTATCATGATATGCTTCATTTACATATAAGTTAGTCACATAATCAACATCATTAATATCTCTTCATTTTTTTTGTGTGTTTTTTTTTAATTAATAATTGTAATTGAAAAAAGAAAATGCATTGTGCTTGTTTATGGAAATTGTGGAATGAAGAAATTTAAAAAAAAAAATTGCTGACAAGCTACATATGTTCGACATTCTATGGTGTCGGATCATCTTAGATTGAAGTTTTGTGCAATATCATCAAAAGTATTAAACTTATGGATATTTCGTAAGATTGATCCTCTTTCAAAATGTTTAAAAAGAAAATGACCCATGCACAGTAAATAGATTTAATATAATATAGTTCTCTTTAAATAGTTCTGTCATAACATTTTACTTTCTTCTTCGAAACATCTCTAAGCTCTAACATAATCACTTTATACTATAGAGCTAAATTATAAAGCAAACAGAACATTTTTCTGGGCAAAAAGAGATCAATCAATGATTTTTCTCCGTTTTAAATAGACTTAGGTATATGATGAGTTTGAATTTAGATTAACAAATTCAATTGATGGATAGAATGAACGAATAAAGCCTTTTTAAATTATTAAAGGTATAGTATGCTTCAAGAACTTTTCTAAAGTACAGTATGTAATCACAATATTTTTCATAGTTGTCATTAAGTTTTATAAAGTACATCTACTCTCATTACTACTTATTGTTTTTCGTTTCATTTTCTCAATCTTGTTTTTTTTTCGTCAATGAAAAAGAAAACTTAATTAAAGTACATAAAATTACGAATATAAATAATTGTAAAAAAATTACAAATGTCGCGAAAAAAGAGACTATCCATAAAATTTGTTGCATTAATAACAGATCATGTGTAAAATTAACGAGCAACATTTTTCTTAAAAAATGCCATGCAATATCATTCTCAAAATGATTTCAAATGCTTGTTATCATAATAAAGATTAAAATAAAATGATTATTGGATTTAACAACATTCTATGACCAAAAGAATTGGAAATAAGTTGAATAAAAAAAATGATTATGAAAGAAAATCAAAATACTTGACGATAAATTTATGTAGCTTTTTGTGGAATAATTACACCACCGGGACCTGGAAGAACGCTTGGCATTCCTGTTAAGAATGAATCAATTTGTCTTGCTGCTTGTCTTCCTTCTGATATAGCCCATACAACGAGTGACTGTCCCCGTCTGCAATCTCCTGCTGCAAAGATCTTTGGATTAGAAGTTCCATAAGTTCCGTTTGGTGTTTGAATATTTCCTCGATTATCCAATGGAACGCCTATGTACAATTTTCTTCAGTAAATTATTAAGTTATTTTAAATTAATTCATGTAGCTTACCAATATCGGAAGGAACTTTCTTTTCAGGTCCAATAAATCCCATTGCGAGTAAAATCAGATCTGCTGGGTAAAACTTCTCACTACCAGCAAGTTCCTTCATTTGCCACTGACCTGTTGCTGATTTGGTCCATTCTACTTGAACTGTATTGACACCCTTGACATTGCCATTTCCATCATCCAAGAATTCCTTCGCTGTAATACAGTATTGTCGAGGGTCTTTTCCATGCTTAAGTTTCACTTCTTCATGACCATAATCGATTCTATATTAATTTCATTAAATTAATTAATTATAAAAATACAACAATTAAGCTTAAGTACCTGAAAATACGAGGCCATTGTGGCCATGGATTATCGGCAGCTCGTTTTGCAGGTGGTTGAGGAAGAAGTTCGAAATTAGTAATTGACTTAGCACCGTGTCTTAAAGAAGTTGCAATACAATCGCAGCCAGTGTCACCACCACCAATAACAATGACATCCTTTCCATGAGCCCAAATGCAATCTTCGCGTGTTCCCAATTGACGTTTCTGATTAGCTTCCAAAAATTCCATCGCATAATGAATTCCATTCAAATGACGATTAGTAATAGACAAATCACGTGGAGTTGTTGATCCAGTGGTGATTAAAACTGCATCGTAGTTGTTGAGTAGATCATTAGAACTAACGTCTGTGCCAACATTTACGTTGCATTTAAATTTAATTCCTTCAGCCTCCAATAGATCAATACGACGCATAACAACTTCTTTTGATAACTTCATCGTTGGAATGCCGTATTGAAGAAGACCACCGGGTCTATCGTTTCTTTCATATACTGTGACTGTATGTCCAGCACGATTTAATTGTTGAGCAGCTGCTAAGCCAGCAGGTCCACTTCCAATAATTGCAACTTTATTTCCACTTCGACAAGATGGTTTTTCTGGTCTAATCCATCCTTCTTCAAATGCAGTATCGATGATTGCACACTCAATATTTTTAATTGTTACTGCTGGCTCAGAAATGCCCAATACACAACTTCCTTCGCAAGGAGCTGGACAAACACGTCCTGTAAATTCAGGGAAGTTATTCGTTTGCAATAATTGCAAGAGAGCATCCTTCCATCTATCAGTAAAGACTAAGTCATTCCATTTTGGAATAATATTTCCAAGAGGACATCCATGAACATTTGATTGACAGAATGGAACGCCACACTCCATGCAACGTGCTGCTTGAGTTTTCAAATTTTTTCGGACGTGATCGAAATTATAAATTTCATCCCAATCTTCTTGTCTTTTGGCTGGATTACGATATGGCTGAACTTCACGTTTGTACTTAATAAATCCACGAACCTTATCCAAATTCTTTTCTTTTACAACTTTACGTTTTTCAAGGGCAACATCCTTGACAGCTTCTTCAATATCCTTAACTTGAGGTTCATATGGATCATTGTCAACATCAACATCTTGTGCCTCTTCTTCTAATTCTAAGGCCTTTAATCTTTCCTCTTCTTTCAATTGTTCTTCCTTTATTCTTTCCTCTTCTAATGCTTTCAATGCTCGTTGATATTCGAATGGGAATACTTTAACGAATTTCGAGCAAACACCTGGCCAAGAATTCAAAATATCCTTAGCCAAAACTGATCCAGTTTTTTGAACAAATTCTTCAAGCAATCCATGCACTAATTCACGATCAGGTTTTTCGTCAAGCTCACACAACTCAACAGATTCCATATTGACTTTTCCACTAACGAAAATATCGTCAGGATCATAAACGTAAGCAATACCTCCACTCATACCAGCTGCAAAGTTTCTGCCTGTATTTCCAGATAAAATAAGACAAATACCGCCCGTCATATATTCACATCCATGATCTCCTACACCTTCAACAACAGCAATAGCTCCAGAATTTCTTACACAGAAACGTTCAGCTGCAATTCCTCTAAAGAAAGCTTTACCGCTAGTTGCACCATAAAGGCATACATTTCCAACGATGACATTCAAGTGACTTTCAAATGGAGAATCTTCAGGAGGTGTTATAACAATTGATCCTCCACTCAAGCTTTTACCAACATAATCGTTTGCATCACCAACCAATCTTATATTAACACCCTTTGCCAAAAATGCACCAAAACTTTGTCCAGCAGAACCTCTCAAATTAATATTAATTGATGTTCCATCAGGTAAACCAGGCTCACCAAACTTACATGCAATATGATAACTCAATGTTGAGGCAAACGCACGCTCTTCATTGCGAATTGTCATGTTGAGATTCAATGTCTTTTCTTTGCCATTGAGAATTCCTTGAGCTTGTTCAATTATGTCATTATCAGAACGTTTTTCCAATTGGAATTCTTGCTTGACTGAACCCCCAATTATATTTGTATTTGGACGCATCTCAAGAGCACTCTTCAAGACAAGCTGTAAATCTAATGTATGAGCTTTTTCGTTATTACGATCAGGATTCATTTTCAGCAAATCTGTTCGACCAATCAATTCTTGGAATTTACGGATTCCCATGCCTGCCATAATTTCACGAATCTGTCGCGAGGGAAAAAAATGAAATTAAAATGAAGTCAATTGGAATGGTTCATGTTACTCACATCTTCAGCCAACATAAATAAGTAGTTGATGACATGTTCTGGTTTTCCTGCAAACTTTTCACGTAAAATTGGATCTTGAGTAGCAATTCCAACCGGGCAAGTATTTAAATGACATTTTCTCATCATTGTACATCCCATTACAATCAATGGAGCTGTCGAAAATCCAAATTCATCAGCGCCCAATAATGCAGCAATAACGATATCAAATCCAGTTCTTAATTGTCCATCAGCTTGCACAATCACTCTTGATCTTAAGTTGTTTAACACAAGAACTTGATGTGTCTCAGCAATACCCAATTCCCAAGGTAATCCAGCTGATTTAATACCTGTCCAAGAACTTGCACCAGTTCCACCATCATGACCAGATACAACAATATGTTCTGCTTTTCCTTTTGCGACACCAGCAGCAACGACTCCCACACCTACTTCCGAAACTAATTTGACACTAATTCGAGCATTTGGATTGGCACATTTCAAGTCATAAATTAATTCAGCAAGATCTTCAATAGAGTAGATATCGTGATGTGGTGGTGGACTAATTAGTCCTACACCAGCAACTGAGTGACGAGTTTTAGCAATTGATTTCGTGACTTTATAGCCTGGCAATTCACCTCCCTCGCCGGGTTTAGCACCTGTTGTAAATAAGTTATCAAGACTTTTATATTATGATCATAATGGATGAAAAGTTTTAACATACCTTGGGCCATTTTTATCTGTAAATCATCGGAATTTGCAATATACGCTGCAGTTACTCCAAAACGACCTGAAGCGACTTGCTTGATTGCTGATCGTTTGTTAAATTGAGGATCTTGATTTAAATATCGGTCGGCATTTTCACCACCTTCACCAGTATTACTTTTTCCTCCGATACGGTTCATTGCAACCGCCAAAGTTGCGTGAGCTTCCAATGAAATGGAACCGAATGACATAGCGCCAGTTGCGAATCTCTTTACAATTTCAGATGCTGGTTCGACTTCTGAGATATCAACTTTTTCGCGGTCAGAAACAAAATCTAGTTGTCCACGCAGACAACACTGTCTGACACTGTTCATTGTTGCTTCTCGGAATCTTTTGTATGAGCTGTGATCGTCATTAATTGATGCTTCCTGAAGTGCAGAAATTGCAGCTGGATCATTCAAGTGACCTTCACCTCCTGCTCGCCAGTGATAGTTTCCTGGATTTCTCAATATCTGAGCATCAGGTGAAACATGATGGAAACTCAATTGATGTCGTTCCAAACTTTCACGTGCCAAAATGTCCATAGTAACACCTCCAATGCGCGAAGCAGTTCCACGGAAACATTTATCAACGACTTCTACACCAAGACCAACAGCTTCGAAAATTTGAGCACCCTTGTACGATTGCAATGTACTAATACCCATTTTAGCCATGACCTTGTACATTCCAGTATCAATAGCTTTTCCAAAGCTACTTGAAATTTCTTCATCACTCAATGCTGGATCAATAATGCATTGATCACGAAGAGTTTTTGCCAATTCAAAAACAAGGTATGGATTAATTGCATCAGCACCGTAGCCCAAAAGAACACAAATATGATGTACTTCTCTTGCTTCAGCAGTTTCAACAATCAATCCAAGTTTCATTCTTAATCTTGTTTCAATCAAATGATGATGAATACATCCGAGAGCCAAAATTGATGAAATTGGACAGAATTGAGGTCCTCCAGCCCGATCAGAAATGATGATTAATTGATGGCCAGTTTCGGCTGCTCTTTGAGCTTCTCTACAAATACGATCAAAAGTCTCAATATATCCTTGAACTCCATCACGAAAATCAAATGTTATATCGATGACACATGTTTTCCATCCACGATAAGTGCTACGCTTCAACATTTGTATGTCAGCAACACTCAAAATAGGATTATTGAGCCAAATTCGATGAACTTGTTGAGCTGATGGCTCCAAAATGTTATATTCTGGCCCAATTGGTGCTTGCATTGACATGACAATTTTTTCACGGAAAGGATCAATTGGTGGATTTGTAACTTGAGCAAATAATTGCTTAAAATACTCGTATGGTAAAGGTTGGAATTTTGATAAGCATGCTAACGGTGAATCATTTCCCATAGATCCGAGTGCTTCCTTCTTATTCTTAATCATTGGAACCAACAACATATGAATTGTTTCCGTTGTGTATCCATAAAGTGTTAAACGTGGATCAAAAAGTCCACGTGTAAAACGCTTTAAATCTCCAGCGGACCGTACAGCACTCAATGCTCCATGCTTGAGTGAATCCTCACGACGTATATCTTGCAGGAAAATCTATGGAACAAAAAAATATTCCTTAATATGTAATAAAACCTTGTTTTACCAGAAAGGATGACAATATCATGTATTTTGAACCTCATCCATTTCCCGAGTAAGTAACAATATAAAACAAATAATAAAGTGCATTGATAAAATTTATGCATTTTAAAAACAAAATAATTAACCAATATCGGTGTGTTGATGACGTGTTGTATTGTACACAAGTATTAAGGAAGTGTGGATAATGAAGACCACAAAATAAGGATTATGCAATTATGAAAGTTTTTGTTTAGAGAAATAAAAAAGAAATTCAGAAAACCACTCAAAAGCATAAGAAACACCAAAAAGAAGCTTTATTCATCCATAAACTTCTTTGTCAAAACTTACCATCTGAGAGGGGGCATTGGATTTAATGAAAAGAGACAATAAAATTTTTCTTAATAAACTCATTTTCATTAGTAATAGTCAGTAATTAATGAATGTGTTCCTTCGTAATGAAAAAATACTGTAATGACTGGTTATGCATGTGTGCTTACCTGCTGTTGAAGCCATTCTCCATGAGGTCGTGACTTCGCAATTTTTGATTTCAATTCAACATCTTGAATTAGTGACTTTTCTTTGGTATCAACCAACAACATACGTCCTGGCTTCAATCGACTCTGTAAACAAGAAAGAAAGTTTTTGCATTATTAAAACAAGAATTGACAAGAGTAAAAGCTAAGCAAAAAGTATATACGTATATAATCATGCTGGGGGTAATTTATTTGATTAAAAAGAAAAGAAAAAAAAAGGATATTTTGCTAAGAGCTGAATGAATGAAGTTCATATCTTAGCAATGAATGCTTGTGCCTTGAAATAATATGGAATTGGCCTTAATTACTTTATCAAATATTTGAGATAGAAATTTGTTTGGATTTATACAGATTAATCGAATGATCATGAAATTAGTTAATATCCTGCTATTTTCTCGATAGCATTTAATTTGACAGAAGTTTGATTTCAAAGAGCAATTTACAGTGATTTGCTTATGCATTAAAATAAATCATAAACGTATCATTCAAGGTGCGTAAAATGAAATCAAATTAAGTAATAAACTAATAAAAAGTTCAACAAACTTATAAGATGTGATATACTTATGAGAGTTTTCTTCATCATGTCCATCACTTTCTTTCATTCTTTCTTTTTCTGAGAGAGCATTGGCTTTACTTTCATTTCATCTGCAGATCTTATCATATCTTTCATCTATAAAAGTTCGATGGACTTAAATTTAAGAAAATCTAATTTTCTTTCTTACCTTCAAGAGGACATCCTTTGGTTCAACATCATAAACACCAACTTCTGATGCCATAATAAGAACATTATCTAATTTAAGAAGAAAAAAAAAATAATAACATAACTCAGCGATTCCTTAAGTTTTGTTTGCGTATGATTTACCTCTCGTGACATAGAATCGAGAAGGACGAAGTCCATTACGATCCAAAACTGCGCCAATATAGCGACCATCGGTAAATGAGATTAATGCTGGACCATCCCAAGGTTCCATGACACAAGCACTCCAGCGATAGAAGTCACGCTTCTCTTGTGACATAGTTCGATCGTTTTGCCATGCTTCTGGAACCATTGTCATGACAGCCTGTACATTAAAAATTTAATAATAAATGTCAGTAAAGCTATCAAATTATTCTAAGTATGATTGACTTACTTCAGGCAATGATCTCTTTCCAACCATTGTCAAGAACTCAAGAACACAATCTGCGGACCCCGAATCTGAGAGATTTGGCTCAACAACGGGAAATAAGTTCTTTAATTCTATGTGAAAAAAAAAAAAAAAATAAAGAAAGAGTTTTAGAAAAAGAATTGAGTATACTTACGATCGCCAAAAATATCACTTTTCATAACACCCTCACGACCTTTCATACAGTTTATGTTTCCTCGTAAAGTATTAATTTCACCATTGTGCGCCAAAACGCGCATTGGATGAGCTCTTTCCCATGCTGGAAAAGTGTTTGTGCTAAAACGTGTATGAACGAGAGCCAAGTAGGTGTCGAAATCAGGATTGAGAAGGTCAAGGTAGTAGAGCCACAGTTGATCAGAGTTAAATAATCCTTTGTATACAACAGTGAGTGTTGAAAGTGAACACATGTAAAAGCGTTGACCAGGCTTCGTTAATTCGTGTGTAGCACGTTTGCGAAGCACGAAAACCTAATAAATTATTCCAGTTGTTTTTCATTAGAACTTCATTATATGATAAGACTTGTTGCTTAAGGAAAACAACAATTTTTATATTCACACCGTTTTCACGTGTGAATCTATTGGTTTTGTTCAGATTGAAAAATCAGTTTTTCGCATTTTGTGAGAAAACAAAGCAAAATTGGTTATAAAAGGTCACAGAAGAAAAGTTTGTGCCTGAAATTTTACATCATTTCCAAAAAACAGATTTCATATTGGTTATGGCATTGCTGAGAAAATTGCAAAATACGCTTTCTGTAAGCAAACAAGCAAGCAAGTTAATCAGCAAGAAATCTCAATAACGAGACATTGTAGAGACTTGTAGTTTTTTACATTTGATCCGTGCTACTCTATAGAAGAGCTGTATTGTTTTTGGGCAAGGTAGAAACAGCCGTTGCTTCAAAAAAAGCAAAAAACTTTCCTTTCATACGAATTTTTCAAATTAAAAGTTCACTGTGATTTTTTTTTATTTTAAATTAAATTTTGGATGAAAAAAATTTTTTTGAGCAAAGAAACAAGAAAGAAATTCATTTTCAATTTTGGACTAGGGGCGACCCTAGTCAAAATCAATTTTGTCACTTTTTTCTTCGAGGTTTTTAAAAATGGATTGAAACTTTGCATAAATATTCTAATGCTTAAAACAAATACAAATAAAATATCCTAAAATTTTTTTGAGCAAAAAACCAAGTAGGAAATACATATTCAATTTTGGACTAGGGGCGACCCTAGTCAAAATCAATTTGTCACTTTTTTCTTCGAGGGTTTATCGAAATGGATTGAAACTTTGCATAAATATTCTAGTGCTTCAAACAAATACAAATAAGATATCCTAAAATTTTTTTGAGCAAAAAACCAAGTAGGAAATACATTTTCAATTTTGGACTAGGGGCGACCCTAGTCAAAATCAATTTTGTCACTTTTTTCTTCGAGGGTTTATAAAAATGGATTGAAACTTTGCATAAATATTCTAGTGCTTAAAACAAATACAAATAAAATATCCTAAAATTTTTTTGAGCAAAGAACCAAGTAGGAAATACATATTCAATTTTGGACTAGGGGCGACCCTAGTCAAAATCAATTTTGTCACTTTTTTCTTCGAGGGTTTATAAAAATGGATTGAAACTTTGCATAAATATTCTAGTGCTTAAAACAAATACAAATAAAATATCCTAAAATTTTTTTGAGCAAAGAACCAAGTAGGAAATACATTTTCAATTTTGGACTAGGGACAGGTCTAGTCAAAATCTAGTTTTTCACTTTTTTTCTTCGAAGGTTTATCCAATTACAGTAAAACTTTGTGTGAGTATACTAATATTTATACAAAACAGTTTTAAATATCTAAAGCAAGAAATGTTTTCTATATGTCGTCAGAGCCAAATTTTATAAATTTGATTGTACATTCAAAAACAACGTGACTTAAAATTTTGTCCAAAAATATGATTTTTATCAATTCAGAAATGTGTGACCTGAAGATTAAAATGCTCATCCAAAGTTTTACTGTATTTGGATTTATCCTTAAAGAAAAAAAAGTGAAAAACTAGATTTTGACTAGACCTGTCACAAGTTCATAATTGAAAATGTATTTCCTACTTGGTTCTTTGCTCAAAAAAATTTTAGGATGTTTTATTTGTATTTGTTTTAAGCATTAGAATATTTATGCAAAGTTTCAATCCATTTGTATAAACCCTCTTAGAAAAAAGTGACAAAATTGATTTTGACTAGGGTCGCCCCTAGTCCAAAATTGAAAATTGATTTTCTATGGTGTACTTTTGTCAAAAAAAATTTTTGGATGTTTTATTTGAATTGACATAATTCTGACATAAATCACATACCAATATTACTTTTTGTAATGCATAGCTTAAAAAAAAACGAAATCTAAAATTTCGATTACCCCATCTGAATTTTGTTCATACTCTTCACTGTGGAAACCAAAAAACAAATTCTTTATCTTAAAACACTTGACAAAATAGCGACATAATTCAGGATTAATTACTTTTTAATAATATTTTAACATTTATTAGAAAATGTGGTTCAAATAAGTGTTAAGTATGGCCGAGATTTGGACCAAAATCAGCTATACTGGTTCATAGTGTTCCCGAGGGTGACAAAATTCAAACTAAGTGTTTTTGTAGCTGACATAATTATGACATAAATTAGGTATATCTTTTGAACTGTGTCGATATGTGTCTCGGCCGTACTTCACGCCCACCCTTCAAACTTATGCTGAGCAAATCTTGGCCTATCCATAAGACTTTTGATGGTACGGTGTGAATATATCCGCATTGGGTTTCTACCCGATACACTAGTTTTTATTACTTTCGTACCTGTCGCTTTAATGCTTCTTCATCCAAGTTAGCAGTCACAAAAACTTGACGTGACAACGGTTCACTTTTGCGAGCAACCGTTCCGATTGCATTGATATCGGTTGGAACAGTACGCCATGTGATGATCTTTAAACCCAAGCTTACAGCAAGGTTATTAAAATCCTTTTCAACTTGCTCATGACTATTTTTATCCAAGTACAGGATACCAGTTGCATATTTGCCGAATTCTGGCAGTTGAATTCCTTGTGCAGATCTGTAATATTCAAAGGAATATAAATTATCTTTATTTGCTTGTTATGTCTTTGAGAATAAGTAAATTTAAATAGATTTTATAGCCATTCCGCTCTCGAGAACTTGATTAAATAGAAAAAAACACGTGACTTTACCTTCCTCCTATTTATTATCAGGCTATCAATATTTACATTTTTCCAATCGCATTTAGTTTGCTTGATGCAATGAGATGTTATAACAAGCGATAATGATAAGCGTCAATGAATTCATTTTGTGACGATTGCGGTTGTAAAAAATTACTCTTCTGAATGTAAACTTGAAAATGTTGTGAATCGGAAGGTTTAAAAAACTCATAAAATATTTTTAAATGAAAAGTCAGACAAAAGTCTTGAAAGCGTATTTAAGCCAATTTATATTTTTTGGTGATGCAGACATACATATTGTTTCTTTTTTGAGCTTAATTTTTTTATTGATTCGAAACAAAGTCGCAAGAACTGAGAATGAAAAACATGAGGTCAATAGCGAGACTCGTGATCTTGAACCAATATGATTAATAAGTAGCTAAAGAATCAGATTCTAATAAATGTAGAGAAAGGTTCAATAGTCAGACTAAAATATGATGACAATTAAATATATTTCGTGTAAAATTCGCTAATCTTTGCATTCAACAAAATTAAGTCACTAGCGATCTTTTTCCCTAGAAATTTAGTGTAGCCACATCTGTACTGTATGAGCAAACATATCTTAATATCTCCTTTTTATTTGTGAGTGGCAGTGGAAAATTTTGAAATGAATAATATGGATAACAAGTTTTTGCGTACACACATTTCTTCTCTCTGCGAAAGAAGTTTGGCTGTTTTCGCTCTCAAGTGAGAGTATTTCAAGTCAAGAAGATGTGAGTGAAAAAAATTTCAATACAATTATTTCAGTACATCTATTTTTAAACATACCATAAAATTCATAGGGAAGAAAATATTATGCAAAGGAATCTTGTTTTGAACATCAGCATGAAAGATATGTTTCAAGGCTGTTTTCGAAAAATACTGAAGATATTGCATCATAAAGTACACAAAGGGATCCTAACGCACATTAAAATAAACATTCGGAATTTCAATAATAGACATTTTCGTTTCGTTTGTCTAGGTCAATAACACTCATTTCGTACTGCATTCGAGTTTAAAATATGCTGATAAGAGTAAATGACATAAACCTACATTTTTAAGTTGACGCACACTTACATTTTTTCCAGAAATTTCTGGCTTACTAATTACTAGTAAGCGTCATTTTTCTGCGATAAGATTAAATATTTGTATTTTACAAAATGCCGACACTCACACAGAAAAGGAATGTACGAAACATCATGAAAGATGTTTGTAAAGCTGCTTTAATATTCACAATATTATGATTCACGAGATGTAAAGTATTACGTCTGAATCTAATTTTATATCGTATCTAGTCAAAAGTTCTACTGATTTATGCTTTAATTAACTTCTCACAATCGAATCTTACAGCATCGTTTATTTACTGACCTATCTTAAAAATGTTCGCTCTAATTAATTGATGTACTCAATTATTATCAACCTTTATTCTCATCAGGCGAAAGACACGCGGTTTTTTTCTTTAATAAAAGTTCACGCTACTTCTTGCTATCTATATTTCATTATGAATGAAATTTTACTGTGGGTTACGCAATTTTATTTGGTAATAAAGATACAATTTGAAAGAAACCATTGACAAAAGTGTAAGCAGCATTTAGGAAGAAGTTATCAATTCATTCATGGAGAAGAAACGTGATAGGAGCGTGAACATCCGAAAATTGGACACGCTTAAGTTACGTCCTAACAGCTGCAAAGAAAATGTCTCACACTTGAACAAAGAAATTGTAAAATTATCAGTGACTTAAAAAGTAACTCGAGAGTTTTATCGCACCATTCATTGAGTGCTTTATTGAGATTGTTTTCCAATTATTTTTTAATTTCCCTTTTACGAGAATTTGTAAATCAAGAAGAAAATAAATTTGTAAGCATTAAAAACAGCCTAAAGTCGTCCTTTCAGAAATAACAGAAAATTTCTTTTACAAATATTTGTTTCAATAATTTTACTCACAATTCTTTCGAATATAGCTTGTGTGGAATTGCTGTTAAAACGCCGGCTCCATCTCCAGTATCGTTGTCACAGGCAACAGCTCCTCTATGATACATACGTTCAGCCAATGTTTGAGCATCTCGTAATATCTATAAAGGAGAGTTAAATTTGCATTAATGATTGATTCAATATCCTTTGACCCAATCATCAGGTTTATATTAATTTTGAATAAGTCATGAAGTTTTCCATAAGAGCCATAAGTGCCAATAAAACATTTTGTCTTAGCAATTTATAATTTTTTGACGGTCTAATTGCAGTTCAGCATTGCTACAACATCGAATAACAATTAAATGTGCTATTCTATGAAATTGATTCGATTTTGTGAATTATTAATAGAGATATATTAAGTTAAATGTAATTCCAAATCAGGAAAATAGATCGAACATTATCATTAATCATTAGACATTGCTACGATATTGAAAGGACATATCTTGTCTTTATTGATAAATTAATTTTGATAAAATGAATTACGATGAGACATCATAAAATTTGATTGACATTATTTGTAATGAAATTAGAGAGTATCGCCTTCCTAATCATTGATAGTCACAGGAAATAATTGAGTTAATTTGTTTGTCACACTTACTTTGTGATTACGTCGTCCATCAATTGCGACGATAAATCCAACACCACAAGCATCGTGTTCATTTTGGGGATCATAAAGCCCTTGCGCTCTCGGAGCTTCCCAATCCATCAACTTGTCTGCTTCCTTTTTATCATTTTCAATTACAGGCCTTGTCGTATTATTTTCATCGGTAAAATTATTAGGCGGTGCCATTCCTTTATTTTCCCCTTTCACAGTCTTTGAATTTGTCGTTATTTTATTAATCTTATTTTCAAATATTTATTATTAATCTTAATTCGTTCACTTCACTTGCCGTGCTAGGATATTGGATATTCGCTTAGCGAATTACTTTTAATTTAACTTTTAACACTTAAATGTTTTTTATATTATTATTAAATATAACTATGCTCTTGTCACTGGATATTTTAAAATATTAATTTCAAATTGGCTGCATTAGCTGTCGGTTCTTATATACAAATAATTGGGTTAGAAAGTTTCTTTATTTTTATTTGAGATTTCAAGTTACTCAAAATTAAAAATTAAAACAAATATTTCTAATATTATGATAAATTAGGTTGATAATGATAAAATCGATAAAATAACTAGAATGCTGCTGATTCTTTGCGGAAGACCTGTGAATTTGAGAGAAAAAAATTTTAAAATTAATTTGCTGTTCATTTTATTGAAAAATTGCAATTCCCGAATTTCTCACATCGTAATTATGTTTGTATTTAATATACGTAAAAAAGTTATTTATAGACAAAAAGTTTATTTGGCGTCGTCGATTTTTCCCATTTTCCGTACTCAAAAGTTTTTTTTTTTTTATCAGGATGGGAACATTAGCATTCGGAATTCAAAACTGAATTTAGGATTAAGTATTCAATATCGTGTTTCATCATTGATTGCTTATTCATTAAGCAATTGAGTAAAAGTGTAATTTATTTAAGTCTTGGATATTGCATTGAACTAACACGGCCAATAGTTGAAGAGCCACCAACAGTAGTAAACTTTAGAAACTTAAAAAAGATCAAAACTTTGCTAAGCATCTTAAGACTTCGTAAACTTTCTTCCACAAAATAATCCAACTTTTATTTATCAAATTGGAATTTTAGGATACTGATACACTCTTGCTGTCTGTACTATGAATTCCTGATATTCTGGTCCTATCAGATTTTTAAAATTCCAATCTACATTTTAAATCTCGTCCAAGTTATCAAGAAGTTTTTCAACAGCTTCTCAACCCTGATTTTCATAAAATGTATAAAAAAAAAATTCTGGCAGTAGATGCACAATATGAAAAACACATTTCTTTTCATTTATTTTTAAGATAATTAAAGTTTACGGAAAATGTGATAAAAAGTCTCACATGTGAATGAAATGGCGAAAAACTCTTAATAAATTATTACGAATTGTATTAATCGAGCACACACCACATACTGTTCATTAATATTAGGCACGAATGGTATAAATAAAGGAAGAAATAGTATTTCGGATAATCTATTATCATCCGATCACAGTATGGTCTCGTGGCATATTGTCGTCGCAAGAGTAAATTTTATTTTTATCTTTTTTTTACTACATGATAATGTGTAATATTAAAAGGTAGACGGACGGTAAGTGACAAAGTTCATTTTATATGCAGATCAGCGTCATAATATGACGGAAATCACTGATAAGATACTTAGAACTGAGTAATTGATAGTTGGAAAATTCATTTGAACTTTGGGAGTTATTTGCAAATGATGTCTAACCTTTAGGTCAAGCTGGTCTAAATCTGATTCATAAAAGAAAAATAACTTAATGACTTCTTAAAAACATTCTTTTATAGTATAAATCTATGACAAGTAGGCAATAAAAGTAATAATCAATAATCCACGTGAAAATTCTATTTACTATGTTTCTAAGGAAATCGTTCAACCCAAACGCTTTCGAGGACAAAAATAACATTAAATGAATGAAAGCTCGACATAATGTCAGCAAAATTGTTGCCTTGGTTTCGGTAGTATTAAAGAATTTTGTTTATAATTCGTAACAATATCCGATAAACTGTTTCCATCGAAACGCAGAAGCTTAAATAGGTCATTCATAAGGAATAAACGTTAATGAATGCTCAGACTAATTTTTATCAAATTGCACTCTGTCTAGTGAACAACAGTGAAACTGCGCAATTGGAAATGAATTGTTGCGTCTAAATGCAATTGCTGATGAGAAATAAAAAGAATAAAAAAAAAATCTAAAAATAATTTTTTTCACAGTCTTTTCGTTCTATTAAATCATTAATAATTAATGCAATTAAGGCAGTTTATGCAAGGTAATAAATCTTATGTGATCTAAATTAATATATAAGAATAAAAATTTATGTCCTATATTATTAAATGCTTTACAATATTTATAGAACTAAAGCCTACACACTTAACTCTTCATTATCATTTTGCGTGATTTTCAGTTTTTTTCACATGTTGGGGATAATATAAAGGCACATGAAGATCGAAAACATTTCACAACAACTATTCGGGAAGAAAAAAAATACTCTTTCTTCACGTGCGGTGCCAAAAATGAAAAGAAAAATAAATGTGTAAGTCTGGTCTATTGACCTGAGAATTACGATCTAGTATTTTTGACTTACATAATTTTTCCATGAAAGAAATCAATTGCTTACTGAATTTTGCAAATTCAATACTTCTTATTTTCGGAGTCAAGAAAACAAATCAATTAAACATAACAGAATGTTCCGTTTGCATAGCAACGAGTTAATTGATTTCTATGCTTGTTGCTTAATCATGAAAAATGAAGCCATAATAAAATGCCAAAATATATACAGAACAACAAGAGAGATGAAAGATAGTGATAGCATGACTTCTTTTCAATTTTTATTGTCGTTGTTTTGATGGAAATTAAGCATTTTTTGAGACGCACTTCACTAAAGATAATCTTATCCGAATGACGAAAATCTTATTAAATTATTAAATCTATATATTTTGGATATAAAGTTTACAAAAAAGCTTTCTAAAAGCAAGGCTCCCGCAAATTATAATCTTTTAAAAACGAAGATTATAATCTTTAAAAAAGAAAAGATTATAATCTTTAATAGTCCTTCATTCAAAGAATGATTGAAGAAAATAAACTTTGTATGGGATTATTTAAAGATTATGATCTGCGGGAGCCTTATCCAAAAGATGAGTTGAGCCTCGAGTAAAAAAGAAATAAAAATAACAATAAGCTTCTAAACCTGACTCAAATGCAGGACTTATATAGAACTAAGATTTTCATTCCTTAAACAACTGATGGTATTTAAGAATCAAATATCTTAAAACCTCTGCACATCCACTTTAGTGAATTTTCCTTTAAATTAAAGTTTGATCTTCATTTGACATTATCATATAAATTGATTTATTTACTTCAGCGAAACTGCTCTACAATCCATTGAAATTTAATATCTAATATGAAACAACTTGATGACATTGACGAAATAAAAAACATTGTCGACATTTGATGCTTATTATTCATGAGAGCATTTTCAAATGTGCATTGAAAAAAAGTAGATACAAGTTCATCGACTTTGGCATGTGATCATTGTGACAAGTATATAAACACAGAACAAGCTTAGACGCCGGTAATTGCATTTTTCAATGGATGATTCAATTTATCCGATTATATAATAATTTTTTTTTCTATTTTTGTATGTGCCACTTTTTTATTGTCTCGTTCATTTTCTGTTCTGTGTATAGCGCCTTTACGCTTAAACTGTTGTTATTATTATTATTGTTGTTATGATGCTTACGAATCGAAAATTAAGAGCAAACTCTAACAAACAACGACGAAAAACGGTCGTTGACAGCTTTTTACTTTCTTCATTCACATACATGGCATTTTTCTTATTTTTTGAGTGGAAAATACCGAAAAAATGAGGATAATTGAGACCGAGAAAAATGAGATAACAAGACATTCCAACTGTGTGTAAAAGTTTCTGATGCTTTGCAAACATACGAAAACATTTCTAGACAGTTTTGTGGCAATAATACGTTTCTAAATGTAGTGCCAAGATTCAATCCCTAGAATATTACATGTGCTCATTTTTCTCCTTTAATGAAATTTAATTCTTACTGCTCAAATTAGCATAAAGCAAAGCATAAAGTTGAAAAATTAAGCCAAAAATGCTACCTTCACAGAACGTTCTAGAAATAATAAGAATAAGAAGCATTAAGAGTTTGTTGACATTTTTTTTTAGAAAAACACGTGGTGCTTTACCGCCACTTCTCTAAATATAATTTCATCATATTATTGTACAAATCGTGTTAATAAATGAAGTAAAAGTCACTCAAACGCGATAGCAAACAATTTACATAGTGAATAATTTTGGGTGGCTTTATGAAGAGAAAAAGAGTATTTCCCTCAACAAACAGAACTATTTACATATTTATCTCAATCCGAGTCATAATATTGTATGTAAATATCATAATTTTGTGAATTCAATTGATATCATTTAGTTTGTATGGCAGTAGTAAGAAGAAAATTATGACGCTTAGCAGTATGGATTATTTATGGAAATAACGAAATTGAATTTACTGTCATTTTGCTTTTTATTTTTCTTGATACTAAAGTTTATCCACGTTCTTCAACCTCATAACATCAAATCCTCTTTCGTATTATGTGCTATACATTCTAATATTCACTAATATCAGTTTTATTGATTTATCATACAAGAGATAAAAGTATTTTCAGTAGAAAGAACATTATTGGTAGATTATATCTTTTCTTATTCTATCTTTCTGAAATCTTTCTTCAAAGTAGAATTGTCAAAAATCATAAAATTCAATTTCTAAGAAGTCACATTGAAACTTTAATACAGTTTAATGTTGAAATAATGCACAATAGTTGTCAATAAAAACAAGAATGATTTGCCCAGAAACTGAAGCCAAGAAAGTCATAGCTGTTAACCTATGTGACATAAACTTTGATAAAAACTATCAAACTTTTCTTTTTGAACGTGACGTTTCAGAACTTACTCATCGCTGTTCTTAATCGCTTCAATATTGATCATACATGATACAGCACGACAGAGTAATCTATGAATTAATACAAGGGTTTAATACATTGAAAAGTAAATCATGCGAATCATCAGAAAGGAAAATAAACGAATTGAATCTTTTAGAGACAACAACAAAGTTGAATTTATTTCAGATGTTTATTGTTTTACCGAATTTCAAATCTTGATCATTTTTAGGCCTAGATTTATGGCACAAAGATGCATAGAATTACATAAATGTGATGTAAGGAAAGAAGTTAAATGATTTTGATGAACTTATTACACGACTGATTAGATAAGATTTTTACGATACGATATTTAAATGAATTTTTCATAGCCTTATGGCATCATTCATATTGTTTATTCGTGTAGTTAATTTAACTAGATGTCAAAAAAGTTATATTTATTATTTTTGTGTTATCATGTCCTGTCAAAATGTAACCCAGATGCTGAAAAACCTTAATTTTACACATGAACGACATTCTACGACAGAACTGCAAATTGTATTGTTCTTTCTTGATTCTTGTTCTGCCACTATGTGCAGTTTTCTTCTTATCGCTTGACTGTCGAAAAAATCTGATTTTTACTTTTCAGCTTAATAATTCCATTGTTTCGGTTTTAAAACTTTTCTTTTTATTTCAATTGAACATGTTTTGGACTTGTTCATGGCTTAAACTTCCTTCATTTTGACTTACTTGAATCTTTAACAATTTTTAAATATACTTCAATTAGAAGACATGACAATGTAAAAGATGTTTTTATAAATTAATTCTGTCATGGACATGCATAAAAAAAATGAAAGATCAATGTACCGAATATACTTGCCAGGCAAAAAAAAATTTTTAGCACATTTATCTTAATTACACTAATTATTACTTTATTGCGAAAATATTCTAGAAAAACAACCACAACTTCAACACATTCTTATTTCATTTTACATTTATTCCGGACGATTATGCAATTACATTTTGCAAGCATAAAAAAACCAACAACATGATATGGATAGAACAATCGAAAGGGGTTCCAAAAAGTCGTATTACGTAAAAATCTTTAATTAACAATGACCTTGAACTTGAAGCAATAAACACAAATATATTCCCCTCATATGTGTTTGCCTACTCACAATTTCTCAATTAATTTGCATAAATTCTCGTTAAGAACTTATTGAAATGCAATGTATTGATGATTACATAATACGTCCCTCAAATCCAGTGCTATTCATATTTTCTTATATTTCATTACCTAATGATGTATGCACGACATGTGAGCTGGCAGACATTTGATAATAACACTAATGCATTTTCAAATATGTACAAAGTGAGTGCATTTTTTTCCTTTTAGAAAAAGTCAACCAGAAGAACAACGCAATAAGTCGGCGCTTGTAAAGTTTTGTTTGTGACCGTAAAGATGAGACTTTTTCACTTTATTCCTTTTTCTTTTCTTTCTCGTCTTTCACAAAAAACTTCCATTGCTAGTCAGTTAATAAATTATTATTTCTTTTTTTTTGGGGGGGAATTGAATTCTTTAAAAATGTATGTCTATATCCAAAAATAAATGTATCACAGCCTTACTACGATAGCTTTTCTTTTCTTTTCCGTGAATGCCTAAAATTACAGAGAAAAGTGCATGTAAGTACTGTATATGAGGTCGCTCCCCTTTTCATTGAAGAAAATTTGCAGGAAAAAAATCAATAAAATTTTTCTAACGTCCTTGACGAGAAAACTTATTTAAGAACGTAAAAACTTTTTTTCCATTTCATCAATTTATTTAGCATTACATGGATTGTTTACTTTGCAACATTTTAAACAGCCACGACAAGCTGGTTAATTATCCAATTTTTTGCTGAGTACGGAACTGACCCATTATTTTTTGCTATAAATAATTTTTTTTTTCATTCTTTTCTCTTGATTCTAAAAAAGCGAATTGCCGACATACAAACTTACACAAAAAATTTACAGTAATATGATTATTCTCTGTTGATTATTTTTACTTAAATAGGCAAAAACTTTTCCTCACAAATTTATTAAATATTAATTTTTTCCTTCAACAACTTTATTTTTTCAATAAGAATTTTCCACGCGATATAAACTTTTGTAAAGAGCTCTATTTCTGCGTCTGAACTGTACGAAAAGAAAATAGTGACTGAGTTGGTTCTCTCAGTGCAGCAGCGATGAAAATATTTTGAGAAAGAAATAACGATGAGAGAGAAGCAGCTGATTTTTTTCAAGTAGGGCCGTACTCTCAATTCTGTCCTATGTGTTGCGCATCTAATATATAAAAGCCCAATTCACTGATTCACTGACTCTGGAACGGAAGCCATGTGAAGACAAAAATTTAAGGAGTGTTGACAAGGTGGTTGTCAGGTGGGGGGTGGGTGTCAGGTGGGGGTTGGGGACAAGGTGGGTGTCGATATATTTTGTGAAGCCAATTTGAGGGGTGCTGACAAGGTGGGTGTCAGTTGGGGGGGGGGGGGGGGGGGGGTCAAGGTGGGTGTCAGGTATATTTTGTGAAGCCGTGTGAAGCCAATGATTTGAAGGGTACTGACAAGGTGGGTGTCAGTTGTGGGGGGGGGGGGGGGGGGGGGGGTTGTGGGAAAAGTTTGGTATCAGAAATATTTTGTAAAGCCATATAAAATTTTGTGAAGCCATGCGAAGCTTTGTGAAAAGATATGGTGGGTTTCGGGGAAATTAAAGTTTTAGTGGGATTAAGGGGGTTTGTCATTTATAAAATTTTTGTGGGATTAAGTCCGAGCTTGAGGAGGTTTGTGAAGCCATGTGAAGTTTTGTGAAGCTATTTATAAAGTTTTTGCGGGATTAAGGAAGTCCGAGTTTGAGAGTTTGTGAAGCCATTTATAAAGTTTTAGTGGGATTAAGGGGGTTCGAGTTCGAGGGGGTTTGTGAAGTTTTGTGAAGCATTTATAATATTTTTGAGGGATTATGAGGGTCCGAGTTTGAGGAGGTTTGTGAAGCCATGTGAAGTTTTGTGAAGCCATTTATTAAGTTTTAGTGGGATTAGGGGGTTCGAGTTCGAGGGGGTTTGTGAAGCCATGTGAAGTTTTGTGGTAGGATTGACCTTAAAAACATTATGGTAATTTGCGTCTTACAGTTATTTACATTATAGTAATCAAATTTTAACCCTGATAAGAGGCGCCACGGGCGCCTCCGTATAGCCTAGTTTTCTATAACCATTGATTATTTTGGACAGACTTGAAATAAATCCGATGGTTTTAACTTAAATCGTCTGAATAAAAATAATAGCTCTAGAGATTAATACTTTTGAGCCAAATAATGAGTAAATGCTTTAATAAAATGCCAATTTGTAATTGTTCTTATATCAATAAGATTTTGCAGTTTTTAACTCTTTATTTCACTTATTCATTTATGATGGACAACATTTATGTGAAACTTTATTGAATGTTCAGAAAATTGTGTTACAGCAAAAAGCAAAAGTGGTGATTTACAAACGGCGACCACGTCTACCTCCCTTTCGGCGTGTAGAATCTGAAGGAATTGGAGTAACATCTTCAATACGTCCGATTTTCATGTTTGAACGAGCTAAAGCTCTCAATGCCGATTGTGCACCAGGTCCTGGGGTCTTTGTTCTGTTTCCACCAGTAGCACGTAATTTGATGTGAAGAGCTGTAATTCCAAGAGTTTTGCACTTTTCAGCAACATCCTATATAATGATGAACATAATATTCTTACACATACAATTTCCAGTCAAAAAAATAGTAAACATACTTGAGCTGCTAACATAGCAGCATAAGGAGAAGCTTCGTCACGATCAGCTTTGACTTTCATGCCACCAGTTACACGAGAAATTGTTTCCTTTCCTGACAAATCAGTAACATGTACGAATGTGTCATTGAAACTAGCATAAATGTGAGCTACGCCAAAAACAATTTCCCCTTCACGAACTTGTGGACCAAGTGAGACTTGGACTTCTTCCTTCGCAACTTTATTCTTTCTTGGAGCCATTTTATGCTATCCTCCGTTGGATGATTGAGTTCGAAATCTAAAATGAGAAAAATAATAAAATAAATTAAAAAAAACATTCATGATTGAGGTTAAAATTAGGTGTAGAAATATTAAAATAACTTTTATACACTAAACTCTTATGATTAAGGCAAAATTTGAAGTTTGCACTATTCGAAAGCATGTAATGTATCATAATTAATCAAAATGTATGTAATTAATGCACTAAAACTAGGTAAATTAAAGAATTATTTCGACTAAAATGTCGTACCTTTTAAAATCTCGAGAAAAAGAAGGATCTTAGTTTAATATCCCTTTATTTCAAGCGGGGCGAGCTACATTTGAGTGTGTACAAATAAGATTAGAATACATCCACTTTTGTGTTTCTTCAGTGTTTGTACGAGAAATTTTAAGCACTTTATAACTTATTTATCGATTGAAAGCTCTTCAAATGTGTTAAAGCAAAAACGATAAAAATGTTTTTTTAACTCACTTGTTTAACGGATCTATAAGTCATTATTGAAATATCTTTCTGATGAACTTGCTTACTTTATTATAAAAAAATTTTCTTCTAGGACCTTTTAAGTTGGGCCCCGACGAAAAAAAATTATTCGTGAGTGACGCTTTAAAATCTTAAATATCTCCGAAACCACAAAAGTGACAAATTTTAAAGTTATTTTATCTTGTAGGAAAAAACAATCCCCATCTTTTGATATACAACTCACTTAATAAAATTAAGCAGTTGCTTCAGAAAATCACTTTAATTAAGCGTCACTCACGAATAATTTTTGGGAATTTTGCCATAACTTTGTCAGTTTTCATTTATATGTTTTCAAATGTATTTTTTTAGATCAGAAATTTTATTCTCTTTTGTTTGGCTCCAAAAAAGGAACAAATTGTCCCCGAAACATACTTATATGAACAAAATTAAGTTTAAAAAATTTTAACGGTTTTGAATTTTTTGAATTTTTTCTGTCGTGAATTGTTTGTTTACAAACAAATATTGAAATAATATTTTAAAAGTCATGAAATAATCACTCAATAATGATGTTAAAGCTCTTAAAATCGGCAGAATAGCTAATGTTTCATATACTTTTTGTAATCATATCATAATATTTGGGAATAATGATTGAATAATTAAGATATTTGGGAATACGGGGAACATAAAAGTGGATTTATCCAAATTTGATTTGCACACACTCATTTGTTGTTTTATAAACTTAAAAAAATTGCAAATAAACGAATAAATCGTTTATCTTTTATTAATTAAAGTATATAATGGGTTTTTCGCTTAAAATCAAAACAAAAAATGGTGGACAGCATATTATCAGGTAGTTTTTTTCACTTACATTGCTTGTAAACATCACTAATAAGCGATTATTTGTAGCGATCTGAATGAATTATCAAAAATAAAAGAGATTAAGGATAAAATTCATGAAATCACTCAAATTCCTCATGATACGATTGAAATAAGATTTGGGTTCCCTCCTAAGGTTTTGGTTGCATCCGATGACTCAACTTTACAGACTTCTGGTATAAAATCTGGAGGTGAATTTGAAGACAATTAATTTATTGACCTATTTTGGAAATAATGATGTTAATAATGCAAATTTATTTGTTCTAGAAACTATAATCGTTGATGTAAAACCTCTGACGCAGGATGAGAAAGATGCAATCGAAAAAGCCAAAAGACTTGCTGAGGATGAAATTTTAGCAAGACAACTGGCTGAAGCAGGAGAAGCAAGTGGAAGCTCTATTACAAACGGAATTCTTTTAAAACAAGTTGTTGCTGCTGATAATTCCTGTCTGTTTACAAGTATAGGATTTTTAGTGTCTGGTAAAGTTGATACAACAGTTGGAACGTACTTGAGACAAATTATTGCTCAAGCTGTACATAATGAGAAAGAGACCTACAGTGATGCAATTTTGGGGAGAAATAATGCAGACTATGTTGCTTGGATTATGCAAGAATCATCTTGGGGCGGTGCTATCGAAGTCTCAATTCTTTCAGCTCATTATGGGATCGAGTAAGTGATAAATTTTAAATTTTTTAAAATCAACAGTTTAGTGTCATTTTATGATTAACAGATTCGATGTTGTGGACATTTCGAATGCAATGATCAATCGATTTGGTGAAGACAAGAAATATCCGATGAGAGGGTTCTTATTGTACGATGGAATTCATTATGATCCCTTATACCTTGAATCACTCTCTGGAGAGCCCCAAAAGACACTTTTTTCTGTTGATGACGAACCTTACGTTTATGAATTAGCAAAGAATTTAGCCAAGGAAGCTCAAAGCAGTAGACAATACACAGATGTCGACAAATTTACTCTACGATGCATTCAATGCGATCGTAAGTTGAAGGGACAGCAACAAGCAACAGAGCATGCTAAAGAAACTGGTCACACAGACTTTGGAGAATTCTGAAATAACTCATCAGCCTGGCATATAATATTCATATTATTATTTTTCAAATTGTCAGTTTCCAAAGGAATTTAATAGAACAAATGTATTGCGAAATTTGAATGATTTTTTTTTTATTTTTAAATAAATTTTTGGATGCTTAAAAACTAGACTTAAAATTAAATTTTTGTACCTAATTCCTATCTGAAGAAGCTAATGATTTTGTTCAGTTTCTTCTTGTATTTCTTAGTAGGTTGCTTAAAACTATTTCTACTTGATGTCTTCCGAAGCAATGGCGTTGAATCATCACATATAGATTCATCAAGTTCCGTTAGATTAGTAATCTTTCTAATCGGCTTATCCTCCTTTTTTCGAATGTCACTCTTCAAGTGAACACCCACTATTGATGGCTTAGTTGATGTATTAATTTCATTCTCACTATTTTTCTTCTCTAGTGACTTCATATAAATTAGTGCTGATGGAGGAAGCTTCGAATTATGCCGATGACGAATACGAAATGATTTCCTCAATTTTGATCCTCGAACAAAATTTCCAGCCATTTCAAAACTGTCGTCTTTAGTCAATGACATTTTCACTTGCTTAAAATTCTCAAGATGTTGTACACTTGAAGACTACAAAAGAACTGATAATGGATGTGATAAAATACTTCATTTAAATATTATATGGATCATCGAAGCTTTCCTAAAACTCAAGAGAGTAAGGAACAAGAGAAGATTTCAAGAGCAATTAAAAGTTTCGTATAAATGTCAAAGAATCTCAAAAATCAAAGTACCTGTAATTTTATTGCCCTAAACATCCTCTAAAAGAATTATGGAAATTATTCAGAAATAATTTTCTCGCATAAACTTGATGTCTCTTTTTCAGGCAGGCATGTTATATGTTTGCTTAGGTAGTTTCACGTCATTTTGTAAAATATTACTTTACATGCTTTTACATTGAAAGAGATGTCGTTAAGGAATTTTTTATTTACGGAAAAACCATTAATTAGACCTCCCTCATTATACATGCAAAAAAAATATATTAATGGTATGAGTATTTATGCATTGAAAACTGCAGCGCATATCTCTGTGATTGAGGATGTTTAATACCAAAAATTTGAATGTTTAAACCAAAATTTGACATTGTTAAGGTGTGCTTTTAAACATCTTAACTCAAATCATTAAGAAAGTTTGCTAAATGTGAAATTACTTGATTAACGATAAAACTTGTTAAAACTTTGAAAACTAATGCACATATTCATTACTGTCCATCAGTATGGATGTAAAATAGATACTGAAGAAATAAAAATAGTTTCTTTATAAAATAATCAAACTCGGTGTGCATCGTGAGAACCTTCTAGGTATCGCTATGAAATTATGTTCCTTTGGTTTTACAGTCAGCCAGACTTGTAGAATAACTGTCATTAAACCAAAGTGATCATGCTAAGCATTTTCACATTTACATGTGAGCAAGGTAAATTGAAGAATTAGTGAACTAGAACCTGAAATATTATGTTTAGGTAGGAGGATAAAAAGTTATATTTATCATATTATTGTCAACAGGTGGTCGGTACTTAATCTTTGTTCATTCGACTTAGGCTCATTTTTTTTATCAAAGTTTTTTTTATTCGTATTTTATATTCAATTTTATTGATAATACAAATATTATACTTATTAAGCTATAAAGTTGATAATCAATTAACATCTATAAATCTTATAGAACTTAATGTTTCTAATTGTTAAGGAAATCACATACTTAGGTCCATCATCTCAATGGGAAAGAAGTATCATAAGAATTATGATAGCAGTTTCATTGTTTTATTAATTTAACTTTTTATAAAATCAAAAAAAAAATATCAATATAAAAGGAAATACTTCATACAGACTACAGATTTAAACGTTAAAACTTAGTAAAAGAAATGCTACGAAAATTCTCTCGAAAGAATAATGTAATTAACATTTATCATGATTATCAATATGATATTTAAAACTAATCAATAAGTGTAAAAAAATATTTTAGATTAAAACTTTTGAGGATGATGAACTATTTTGCACTTAAATTATTAATCGATCGATGACTATCTCGTCGTCTTGCAGGCAATTCAAAATGCCAATCGGAACTCACTTGATCCTCTTCTTGCTTGTTTAACGGAGGTCTTGCACGAATTCCATAAGTAGTTGGTCTTTCTTCCGGCTTCTTTGACAACATCAATTTAAGGAGCTCAAACTGATTTAATTAAAAAAATAAAAATTTATGTTAATGCATGCTGAAATCATACGGAAATATTTCATGTTTCTTACCTCATTCTTATTATTTTCAATAAACTCATCAGGATACTTTTGATTCTTAATATTTTGAAGCACTTTATACCGTTCTGTTTCAGTATGGAAGAAATTAAGGAGCTCAAAGAAAATTAGTCCTAATGAGTAAATGTCCACTTTGTAATTGTATGCTAATCCTTTTGCTTGTTCTGGGGACATGTAAAGTGATGTTCCCACGCGTTGGGTATGCTTCTTATGACCAATGACTGTAAAATCTACATCGAAGCTTGATAATGAATTAGAATTTGATGATGACGATGAGGTAAGAGGATCCATTGGTTGCTCAGCCATATCAGTGACTAATCCAAAATCACCGATTTTTACTTGACCATCTAATGCGAAGAATATATTACTAGGCTGTGAAAAATAAAAAAATATACATTAAATATTGAAAATAATTCAGTCTAAAGATATTAATTAATAGTGAACTAAAAAATGATAATAAGTAACACTTGTATGGAATCAATCATCCAATTTACTTTTTTTTTCGACTTACTTATCGACATCTAAATTCATATTTAGTCTACATAAAAATATTTTTACTAAAATGTAAGCATACTTTTAAATCACGATGAATGAGACCCTTAAGATGAACATAGTGAACAGCCTGAATTATTTGGTTCCATATTTCCACAGTTTCTCCATTTCGCACCTTCAAGTCGTTCTGTTTGAGCCAATCTTTTAAGCATGTTTTCATGCATAGCTGCATTTGAATGAAAAGATACATTTTTACTGGACTTCCAACTGCTGAGTTTAATTTTTTTGGCAAAACATTTGTATTTGATAAAAGATCCAATGATAGATTGCGACGATGAGTGGGCTTGGCCGCATCATTTCGTGTACTTTGAGAGACACTAGTTTCATCAGTAATTGAGATCACATGGCTTGTGTCAGGAGAACTTTTAGGTTTAATATCAGCTGTTATTGATTGTGATAATTCCTTAAATTCGATTGCGAATGACTCATCACCCAAATTAAGCCTATTGCTTTTCGTTTCACTGTTATCATTTGTATCTGCTTTGAACTGTATAAATGAACATGAATCATCATCATCGGCTGTTATATCGTCATCAGGTAGCTTAGCATCGTCAAAATCAAGAAAGCTTTTATTTTGAAGATTCATCAAATAGCTGCTGTTACTGTCTTTTGTTATGATTCCATTAGAAATGAATTTATGTGATGCCATTTTACTTCCAGTTGGGACCGAAAAACCTTTAGATTCTTCTGTTGGCGATGGAGAATCAATTGTTATTGATGTCGAGCATATATCTCGACTGAATATTTCCTTATCTTTTGCTTCTTGCCATCCTTTTGGTGGCTGCTCGACCCACGCATGGAAATATCTTACAATATTCTTATGTTCACAATTAGCAAGAGTTTTTACTTCACGAAGAACTCGCTCTCTCGATTCTTGCTTACTTGGAAGCAATATTCTCTTGATGGCATAATTACAGTCATCTAATTTATTTCGAACTTCAAAGACTACACCAAAACCACCTTTTCCAAGGCATCGCATAAGGTCAAAATCTTCCAAAAATCTAGAGGAATAGTTATCTTCATTTGATGCTGCTGATTCCGATATGCTTCTCATTTTTTGAGCCTCATTACGTAAAATTTCTATTTCTTGCTGTTGTTTTTTCAATTGTTCTTCTTCCTCGTCATAATCAATTGCCTCTTTGGCTATGGGAACAAAAACTACTTCTCTCTCACCACGTTTATTCTGATTTCTCAGGATAAAATTGACAACAAACGCTGTTGTTAGAGCAATTACAACAATCTCCTTCCAATAATACCATAATGATAATCGAACTGGATACATGCCAAGATTTTGAAAAGTTATGTTGTCAACATCTTGCGGTGTTTCATTTGTTGTCTTAATTTTCTTATGTGCCTTTCCATTTGAACATTGCGTTGAATGATTAACATCCTTTTCAGAGAAAAAGTAATATCCACGTCCTTCACCATAATGAGAACCATGGAGCACTAACTGGGCGTTCATTTTATCGTCGATTGCTATTAATTCATGCGATTGCTTTTGGTCATAGTTATGTTCCTTATTATTTTCGTCCTTTTCTTTAAATTTTGAAACCAGATCAATTAAAGCATTATTAGCAGCTGGAATTGGTTTAAATGGTATTTTTGGAAGTCTATTTTCACTAGTTGCGATATTATTTTGCAAATTTTCATACTTGAAATGTTCAATTGAAGATTTCATCATGTCTGATTCCTGTATGTACAATTGATGTTGAAACATCCCTAAATATAATGCCGGTGATAATTTTGATTCTCCAAATGCTTTAATGAAGACATCACTTGAGTGTTCTTCCCATAGCCATCGTGTATTTGCAAAAAGATCAACACTATACAAGACATTTTCCACATTCGATCGAAAGACACTAACGATTGGCGAATCAAATTTGTATTTCCATAAAGTATGTGCAGGGTTTTTCTTGCTGTATGCACAAAGAATTCCTTCGGGAACAATAACTCGTATTTCAGTGTCGAGGATGAGATCATTTAATTGTTGATTTTCAGGACTTGTTGATTGCTGTCGACAATTGTCACTTAATGCTACTTGCATTTCATGGTGTCCAATTGAAAAATTCCAGCGCTCACTTCCAGTTCTAGGCTCGTTTGCACGAACAGTTTGCGTATGTCGTTTAACAACTAAAATATCGTCAAGTAAAGGATCATGTGTTGTCTTAGAAGAGTCTTTTTCGTCAACAGTCTCACTAAAATTCTTACTGACTCCCATCGACTGCTCATAAATGATTTGACCATTTCTGCAATTAACTCCATAGGTCCTTACTTCTTTTCCACCAGAAATTACCATATCATCACTAAATTTAAACGATGATCGCAATAAATCTTCGGCTCTAACTGGAACTGCTTCAATAGAATCACCATCAAACTTGTAAATGCCACCACTTAAACTTGGAATCAAACGAACATATTTTCCCTGACTTGACATTTCCAAACGATGAATTGATGATGACAGTAAATCACCTGGCTCAGTGATAAAATTCCACACAACTTCTCCATTTTTTGTTAAGTCTAATGCCGTAACTCCTCCATCAAGCGTGGAAATTAAAAGAAGCCTATGAGTTGGAAGTTTAAAATAAAAATAATTTGAAATCATTTGGAATGTTATGAAATTTCTCGGTATCTTCTAGTTCCTTCATTTAGCACCACCAAAAGAGATGATTTTCATGTCATAAACAATGTATAAAATACGTGTTATCAAAGAGTAAAAGATAACGCGAAAAGTAAACTATAGACCTTGAATTGTTGTTTTTATCATACTAATATTAACTTTTACGTACCTTTTGCTTGATTCGCGATTTCTAATAAGATGTTCATCGCAATATGAGAGTCCTTCTACCTTTCCATCATTCTCATTACTGTATTGATGCTGGGATTGTACAATATCTTCAGCATATATACTTTTTACATACAATAAGCCAAAAACAATAATCGGTAAAATAATAAAACACTTTTTGGGATTTTCTAAATTTAATTGATTTATAACTGATAATACACTCATTTTCCTACACTTCACTCATCTCTTACTGCTCTAGCATTATTTTGGCAGTATAAAAGAGCCACAACACTCATTTAAAATCGAATTATAAATGAAAATACTTTGATACAAATTTCCTGCTATATTTTGTTTTTAAAGGAACAAAGTTTTTGAATGATGTGTACCAATCAACGCCGTTTCTAACCTCTATGCCAATAACTTGTCATTTTTATTAAATCCAATTTTCATTTCTTTTCTTCCATAAAATCAGTTTTAATAGATAACAAATTATTAGCAGTAACATGACGCTTAATTAGAATATAAATTGAGAATTGCTATTAGTCTTCATAAAATACAGTCTTGTATTATGACAATGAAGCTTGTTCCGCAATTTTACGACCAAACTCGTGGGTACACAACTTAGTTGTTTTTAAATTGATTGTTGATTTAATTTAATTCATTAATATCTAACTTCCAGTTCATTGACAATTCAAGAAACATTAGTTGAGCATGATAATCTAATAAGATAATGCTAGCAAAGTTACAAAAGATATAAGATTCTCATTAATACATTTGTAATCACCTGATTAATAATTTCATGAATCTCGCATATAAATAATAATCACAAATGAGATTATTCCGTGCTCTTTGGACGTCTTTTAAATGTGGAGATAGTATTAAGGAAATAAGAGTGATTAATCAGCATCATATAGACGCATTTTCTACTTTGACATGTGATTCTAACAAGATTCATAAAGGCAATCAAAAATCATTTGTGAATGGAGCTTTTCTTAACAGTATCGTAGCTGGAATAATGGGAACAAAATTACCCGGTGATGGAACGATTGTCATCTCTCAAAATTTCTCATTTCCATCGAAATGCTATGTTGATATCCCAATAGAATTTACTGTTGAACTTGTTGAAGTAAGAAAGATTATTAAAGCAAGATATCAATGTGTCCAAAATGACATTGTAGTTTTTGAAGGAGATGCTAAATTAATAATGAATAAAGGTACCAAATAAATAAGTAATAGTAAAATTTATTTAAAACCTTTTTTCTGCATCAGTCACAAAACAATTTAAATTTGGAAATAGGAACACAATAAAAATGTAAGAAATAGAATGACAACTATGAGAATTATTGCAGCCCACGCAGGCAAAGTATCTGAAAAAAGTCACAAAATAATGAAAAATTAATAAAAAAAAAATATTAAAATCGATAACTTACGTCTGTATTGTAAGCTATGAATGCAAATCCGATTATCAACAGAATACGATACAACAGATGCCTCTGTGTCACTAGAAATAGGCGGTGCGTCTTTGTTCAGGACAGGAATAAACTCGAGACCAGTTACAAACATAGAATGAGCATTAGGAACATGTAGAACTTGTTGTAAACTAAATGCAATGTAAATCATGACAGAGCCTGTAAACATAGTTCCAACAGCTAAAAATCTTCCATCGTCACGAACTGATAATGCTGAAAGACTTTCATCAATAGGAACAATATTATTCAATCGACCAGTTTCTATGTTCCATTGTTGTAAGAATCCTCTTTGCTTTCCAGCTTTTTGTAGTGGATTAGAGATTGTAAAAAGCCTAAATTTGTCTGAATTGCCCTCAATTGTCGCATAACGACACCTTTTGTATAAATATTTGACATTCTCTGGTGGTGTCCATTGAAGTTTCATTACTTCACGTCCATTATTAACTGACCAAACAGCAGCAACTCCATCTTTAGCAATTGAAATTACATGCTTACTATCAGGACTAAAGTCGACATCATCCAATTCTTTTTGATGAGCCTGTATGTCATGCAATGGTGTCATTCGAGGAAAATTCCAAATACGAACGTGCCCATCCAATCCACCTGTGACCATAAACTTTCCATTCATACTTATCCTCACGACTCTTTGCAACGGTTCGCGTTCAAAGAAATCTGTTTGAATTGAATCTCCAGGCTTGATTTCAAAATATACTCGTTTCATTTGTTTCTCACTAGAATCAATCGTAGCCGATGGTTTCTTCGGTGTATCATGACTTGTCGTTGATTCTGTACGTCTTCTTTGTCTAACTTCAGCTGTTGATTCTCTTCGGTTTGTTGTTGTTGTCGTTGTGGCAGTTTCTTTCGGTGGAATTTGTCCTACTTTCGATGTTACTATAAACATTTGACTGTGATTTTCCTGTCCAGCAACCAGCACTGTCTTCTTATCCATTATTTTTATTGACATATTCATTACTGCTCGAGATCCAGTCTCGTGTCTTTGAATTTCTTCTGCGACAAAATATTTCCCATTATGATACAATTCATAGATCTCAAATCCATTTGCAACACCCGTTTTTGCGGAACCTCCCCCACCAGCAACCATTAAATGCCTTGTTATTGGATAACAATAATAGTTGAATTGTCATGTTTAAAAATAAAAACAAGGAGTCTTTAAAGTCTTACCTGCTCGTTAGCATTTCGGCTGCATACAAAGGAAAATTGACTTTGGCTAGAAGGCAATCTGTTATCATATTCTTCTTAGATCCCATTACGATTAATGCAATAAATATTAATTAAAATTAGATTTTATGATTTTTGTAATGTTGGAATTTTTTGAGAAAGTTTTAATGCGATGTACCCCTTATTTTTAAAAATGTTATTGGTACGAAGGAACTAAAGTTAAAATTATTGGTAACGTATATGAAAAATTTAAATGTTAAAGAAAAAATAAATTTTTTTAGAAGCTCTTAAAAATCATATAAATCTTGTAAAAAGTGATCACAATAAATGAAATTAAGTAAGAAACTATCGGGAATTTGTGAAGATAGTGTAAGGAATGGTCATTAAAATGTTCAAATCAATCAGATTGATAATATAAGGAGAGAGAAAATCGCAGAGCAGCAAAAGTTATTTTCATTTCTTTTTATGCCGTATAATTTGTTGCTTTTAAATTATCAAAATGAGAACACAAATGTAAGTTTTAATTCATTTTATTGTATAATAATCAGTAAAATTATTAAATTCCGACAATCTCAATTGGAAATGTACAATGTTTTAAATTACTGGATGTTATGATTTATGCTCAAATCGTCAAATCAAACTTCCAGTGATACACGTTGAAAATGTTTTAAAATCTTTAATTAACATTTTCAAATTTCATTTTAGAATCATCATGACTACCACTTAAAAATTGAATATTAATTAGAGAGATAAAGATACATTGTGAAAAGGAAAACATCAGTCTCATAGATTGTAGATCCGTAATAATAAAAAAAAATTGTAATTAATAGCGTCGTCAACATAGAAGAAAAAGACACGCAAAGCAGAACTTTATTTAAAGAATGAACAATTTGGGTATGGCTAGAAATCCCGACATGTATCGAGGAGGTCCCCCATTGTGTCCAGCAGATTTCAAACCACCAACAGAAACACAAATGCCTAGTGCACCGACGAATCCAAAAAAGCGAAGGAAAACTAATGCAAATGCAGCAAATAATGCAATACAACCTACACCACCTCCAACGCCAGCTGATTTACTTCCTCCTCCTTTAAGCGGTTATGGAGATACGATAATTGCATCCAATCCATTCGATGATACTCCACCACAAACGAACTCAATGAGTTCAATGAATCACATGCATATGAATCATCATCCACATATGCCATACAGTCACAGTCATCACATGGGCGGTCCACCAATGCGTGGAATGTCACCAATGATGATGGGAATTAATCCACAACATTTAGGTCCAGGAATGAATCCACATATGAATAATCGAGGTGGAATGTCTCCAATGGCTCAAATGGGTGGATTAAGTCCTATGGGTGGTGGAATGCCTTCAGTTATGGGACGATCTATGTCTGGAAGTCCTTTAAATGGCCCTCAAATGGTTCCACCTCTTGGATCACCAATGTCAGCAAACTCTATGAATACAATTAGTAGTCCTTTAGGTAAATTTTTATATTCTCGTTAAGTTTGTTGCTACTATTGTAAAGTTTTTCATTTACTATTCTATAGGAAGCGGTCCAGGTCCAAATATGAATAATGGTCCACCTTTAGGGAATCATCCGATGCACAGTCCTTCTATGCCTCCTGTAAATAGAATGAATGGAATGACCATGAATGTAAATCCTCCACAACAATCGCCACATCATCCAATGAACATGCCTCCACTACAGAATATGAATCAGATTAATTCGGGGCCAAATATGATGAACAACAGCAACAATCCTAATCTTAGTAATCAAATTAATAGTAATAATAGTAATAATGGACCACCTCCAGTGACGGTAAATAACAATAATTCTCCAACGACGCCTCATCATGGTCCCAATAGCAATAACCATCCAAGCAATAATGGACCAACAAATCTGGGGAATACAGCCAATTCAAATAGTTCAAATATGAATCCAAACAATCAAATGATTCATCCAGGAAACATGGGAGGTAACATGGGAAATATGAGCATGGGACAAAATATGGGAGGTCCAATGATGGGCAATAATCCTAATATGCCGCCAGGAATGCAAGGAGGTGCACAAATGTCAATGTTTCCTGGACATAAACCAATGCCTGTAAGTGCTGGAAAAGTTTATCCTGCCGATACACCAATGGTCTTCAATCCCCAAAATCCCAATGCACCGCCAATCTATCCATGTGGCGTTTGCCATAAAGAAGTACATGACAATGATCAAGGACTATTATGTGAATCGGGTTGCAATTTTTGGTTTCATCGGTAAGATCCTTCATTATTTTATTCATTCCTTAAACTTCTTATTTCATTTGTGATATGATTATCTCTTTTTGCAGCACGTGTAGTGGTTTAACTGAGGCAGCGTATCAATTAATTCACTTCGAAGTTTATGCTGAATGGTGTTGTGATAAGTGCCTCGCATCAAAAAACATACCTATGGTTAAGTTCAAGCCATAGAATTTAATGTTTCAGTAAAGTGCATATGATTAAGTGATTAAATAATTTGACTCAAGTGTTACTTTTGAATGAAAGAAGAAGTAATAATCATTGATTATTATTATGTTAAAAAAGAAAACTTTGAAAGTGACACAAACTAAGAATTAAAAGATGATTAAAGTGGATATAAAAAAAATGGACATCGAAGGAAAGAGGAAAGAAGATTTTTTTAAAGAAAAATGATTAAATGCCTTACAAATGTTGAAATTATGCAAAAATCATTACATATATTGGATGATGAATTAATTAGTGAATTAAAAAATGAACAGAAAACAAATGTCTTGGTATATATAGAATAATGACAAGCTGTACATTATGGAACGCTTTAATGAGTTTTGGCTGGATGAATCTGGATGAAATGAAGAGAAAATCTTGCGTTTAGAGATTTTTTTATTAATTTTATTATTACAACTTTGGTTTTAAGTAAATTAAATTTTATACCTAATTACCTTTTCTTCTGTTTTTAACCGTTTCGGATTTAGAACTCTTAACTATAAAAATTAATTTTATTTTCGTTGGGATGTTTTTTACTCATAATGGATTCGATAAATACGTTTATGATAGATAATTTGTTTGCTGCTTAAGATTCTTGTCTAGCTATTTTCCAAAAAATAGAACATATACACACTAATCTACAAATTTTAAGCAGCATGTAATGATTATTTCATCACTTTTTAATACTGACTGGAATTGTAAATTGAAACTTTAAATTAATTTATGAAAGGAGAATACTTTAGTGATGATGAACTGCAGTACAGTAGGAGATAATTTGACGTCAAATTACGGATCATGTTTTCAAGATACAGTTTTATATTATCATTTTTATTATTAAAGCAAGTATTAACTAGAACTGTCCAATTTTAATGAGATTATTTAGATGAGAAATGACTGTTTTCCGTATATTGATCATTTTCAGATTTTTATCTCATCTCTCTAACGTTATAAAAAGGAGCAGTGCTTCTTTTAGAAGAAGAATATTAAAATCAATTGAATTTCTCAAATCATCATCACAACTAAACTTTAATAATGTATAAATGTTGCCATATTATTTAGTTTTCCGAGACAAATATTAATCCTATTTTCAAAACTAGTGTATCGGGTAGAAACCCAATGCGGATATATTCACACCGAACCATCAAAAATTTTGTTAATTGGCGAAGCTTTACTCAGCAAATGCCGCAATCAATTTTAAATCTGTTTTTTTTTGCAGAAGATGTGAAATTTTATTTCTATCTTACTCCATTTCCTCACAAAATTCCAAAAACTGATTTTTCAATCTGAACAAAAACAATACATTTACACGTGAATACGACGTGAAATTAAAATAAAACCAGTTCTTTTTTGAAGAAAATCTTTTGCGTAAACGAATGAAAATTATTAATTAAGAAAATTTTAATGCGATATTGCAAAAGTTGATAAAGTCTTTTCGAGTCATGCCTTCAGTTCTTTTCAAACCTCAAGTAGCTCAAGTTTATTTTTGAAATGCTTTATGGAGCAGACAGCATTCTTTTTGCCTAGATCGGATACCAAATACCTAGTTTAATGCAATTTTAGGAATTATGCAAGATTTGGTCTAATCTGATCTAAATTTAACAAAGCAGATTGACTCTGAGAAAGGCACAAAGATTCGTTTAACCGGGTTTAACCTGTTTGATAATCTTACGAACGATAAAATCTTCTATCAAGTAAGCTCTACCAGTTTTGAAAAACAATCATGAAAATGAGTCATTGAATCTTTTAGAACATCGCGATTTTAAAGTTTTAAAAAAAACATTTTACTTACGAATTGCTTTAAAATTTACAATTTTTTAACTATATCATCATCATACTTACCTGACATGATAAAAAGACTATGAAAAAATCTATGTCAACATTTTCGCATTAAGTTAAATAATGTAAGAGGAAGGAATACATCTTAAAAATTATCTATATCGGAAATTGCTTCCATAAAAAAAAATGAAAGTGTAAAAATGCTTCAGCATATACAGTGCTTTTTTATTCATCACATTAGAAAAGAGGACACGAAATTTTTAAGAAGAGTATTTTGAGCAGTTATTGAAAATTCTGTGATGCATTAGACATCATCAAAATAAGAAGAAAAATGATAAAAAAAATGTTTATTGATTATCCATTAGAAGTTTTGTTTTGCATAAGCATAACATGTTAACACATAAGAAGAAGAAAATATAGTAAAATTCAATCTTGCTCATCTGTAAGAACATGCAGTGAAAAAGGACATACAAAAAATTCTAGAAGACAAAAGTTTTAATGATAGTCAAAGCATTGTAAAAAAGGATAAGGCTTGTTCATTTTTTGTGTACGGAAAAAAAGGTTCTAGTTATTTCAAGAAAGAGAAAAATAAGAAACTGCAAGCAACACAAGAAATATTTTAATAAAAATTTTAAAAAATTATATCCTTAATCTTTATTTGATTGTAGTTTTCAGACTAAGTTTAAATAGGTTTTAGCTGCAGAATAAAAAATGGATTAACTACTGTAGGGCCTACTAAATACACGAATTTTGCATCTTACCTTTTTAGTCTGATTGCATGACCAGATCTTAATGTTACAAAGCATAGTAGTATAACATCTTATATCACCACTTACAAGAGGATTTGAACAAAGAAAAGCTTCAATATAGACAATCATTTCGTTTTATTATCGTAATTTATTTAAATATTTTTTTTTTTTTTTCATAAAAATTAATCCTAGATAATCTTGTCTGTAATTTGTTGCCTCGCTTCTATATTGTGCCTTCTGATAACATTTGTAACTTGTCTAGCGAGTTGAGCTTTATTGGTTCCGCCATGTGCCTTGCTGGGTGCTAAACATGGCAATTGTGGTCGAATAACAACGGGAACTTCAGAGCAATTTATCAAATTGCCCATTATACAAGAAATTTCGTTACTACTTTGTGCATTGGTACTTGAATTTGTGGAGTTTGTGGCAGTTTCATTCTCGATCAAAGTATTTAAATTTGTTGGCATTGAAATCGGTAATGACGATTTATTAAACTTGGAATTTTTTGATTGAGCTGGAGGCAGAGATCCCAAAACAGGCAGACTATTGGACATTTCATTAGCTATTGTTTTAGCAAAGAGATCTTTATACTTCCGACGATCAGAGTCTGTTATTAGATTTGCTTTATGGAAATTGACGTATATCTATAATGGAAGTATCTTAAAAATTTGAGATATAAAATTAAAAGCTTTAAAGAACTTACATTTTGCAACAACCCTACACTTTTGACAAGATATTCACGTTGTGCCATAGATGCAAATCGTTCTCGTTCATCATGCTCAACTACATCGTCAGGCTTGAAATAATTTCTTTTATTCTTCTTTGCCTTTTTCTTCCTCACAGTCTCATCTCCTTCACCTAAAGTTTTTGAATACCGGAAATGTCTCAAAATGGCTTGATTGTGCTTGAATTTCTCCTCCAATTCAATTCTTTGCTGCTTTGCACATTCTTCTCTCCTCTTACTTGCTGCCGTTTCCGAATAAACTGACAATTGATTTTGTTGAACATAAAACTTTTGATAACGAGTATACTCATTATAACATGGCATTATTCGTCGAAATCCACCGAGATGTGTATCTTCCCATGCTATTTGCTGCGACCAACTATTATGCTTATCAAGGTACACATCCGATTGAGAATCATCATCATCTTCTTTATTAACTGCATTATTATTAGCGTCTTTTGCATCCTTTATCCTTTGCAACAAACGATCACGTATACGTTTTCGGTCTTCTTCAAGAACCTAATAAAAAGGAAGTAAATCAATGGTCATTCACAAATGACATAGATATCCTCACCTTCTTTCTAATATCCTGTGTAAGATTCAATATCACAAAAGTATCTCGAATCAATGTTTCCTTGACCTCCTTGTCAACCTGCTCATTAGTATGAAAACTTGGCGAATGATTAACTTCTAAGATGAAAGGTCGCATTTTTGAATCAATCATTATATCCATTCCTAGTAATTCGAAGCACGCTTGTACCATATCGTGAGATGGAAAACATGCATTATAATTATGTTTTAACATTGGCAGTGCACTTAGCACAGTTTTGATAATGACATCATCAATATTTGCCCACAATTCAGCGACGTCATACCCTTCATTCGCCAAAATTCGATTAAGGGTTGAGATTTTCCTTTTAGTGCCAACTTCATCATCCGTTGAATACATCCTACTATGCTTATTTACAGAATAATTTGTTAAATGCATAAACATATTTCCGGAATTATAATCAGATGGCTCACGATATTTCGTGGTTGCAAATCTATTTTATTTTAATTCGAGTAGAAACAATCGTGATTAAAGGATATTACATTAAAGAAATAGCTAGCATTACTGTACCTTGCTAATCCTTCATTATAAACGAATATTCGGAGTGGATCTAAAGATGTAATGAGACAGTATACACGAAGATCAAATTTATAGCCATCGATTAGTAATGGCTTATTGAGATAAACTTGACATATCATTCTTTCATTGATTTTTACTTCCTTTAAATTCTTTGTCAACCAAATGCCTCGACCTTGCGATCCTTGATCTGGCTTTATAATAAATGTTTTATTTTTATATTGACGGCTGTACTGAATTGCATCACCCAGACTAATGTTTAAGAAGAAAACAAAAGGAAACATGGAATTGACTAGAATTAAGCAACAACAAACATGAACTTACTCAGCAGGAAAACACCAAGATTTTGGAAAAATGTTATAGTCATTTGGAAAAAGTTTCAACATGCGATTCAAGTTTCTCGCAAGCAAGTCTTTGCGACATATTTCAAACATTCCTGGAAAATGCTTTATTGATAAAAAATTAATAATGAATTAAATTTCATATTAAGCATCTGAATAGCTTACATTAATCTTCTGAAATCTTCTCATCTCGCGACAAAAGTCCACAGCAACAAGTGAGTCGGTCCAACATAAATTCCACATATCATTTTCTTGCTTTCGAGAATTCGCCAATCTTAATTCATAATTGAATTCAACAAGAGATTTGTTTGGTACTTGAATATTATTTGGACGTACAATTTTGTATCCTAATGATTTTGCAACTCTTGTTATGCAATCATACCGACAATTTAGAATCCAAATTGACACTGGTGGTCTGTAAAATTAGAATGTATGAAGATGATGGCTCGCTCCAAAATAGATGAAGAAGTAAATTAAAACAAAATAAAGCTATTGCGGAGCAACAGTGGAAAGAATAAAAGGAAAACAAAGCAATAGCAATACATTGAAATGTGTGTGAATAATAAGCAATGAAAATCTAGTGCATTAGCTCCTTACGAAATGATTTTAAATGGCTTGAACGCATATTTTTAAACGAGATCTATGAATTTATTTTGAATTGGGATCTGAAATTGTGTCTATGTTCCTTCTAAAGCACTGAACAATCAAATTACATTTATCGCTCAATTATTAATTCCAAAGATCAATGACTAAGTTCTATTTTTAGGGCAGAGCATACCATTATGAATCAGACGGAAATACTGAACACGACAGACACATAATAATCCCTTTTTCTTTTTTAAAACATGCTGAATATATTCAAATAAATGTGTTGTTATGGTGCAAGTCATGATATGCATAATACACGTGACTTTTTGTTCCTTAAATCAACTTTCGATTTTATTTATGGAAAATTCTGTCTATAAAGAATTTTTGTTGCGTCGAGTATCTGTGCATATTTAACATCCAACTATCATATATTGTAGTTCATGCATTTCTAAGGGAAATGAAGGTGAATTTATTGACAACGAATCACACATATGCGTACAGAATGGGGTTGTTGCAAATGGCATTTCACGGCTAAAATAAGTGAAGTGAAATTCCAGCAATTTCCTTTTGTGGTTAAAAAATGCTGTACAATTATCAGCCTAAACGTTACAAGCTAAATTATAAAGAAAAGGAAATTGGCACAGGAAGTATTCAGTAATAGGAGGAAAAATAATAATTTAATTCATTAATTCCATATAGTCATGCAACTCTATTTTTTATAAAAAATGCTTTTTTTTCCTGTTTTTGCCATATAATCCAGCAAATCATGCAAATAGCTTAACAATATATTTTGGTAGTGACAAGTTATATGATTAAGAGGAATTGATAATAAATGCCCCAAAAACCCAATTGTATAATGCCGTATAATGTTTTTGAAAAGTAAATTAGAAAACTTTTCAAAGGACTAAGTCAGCCTTAGATTATTATATTAAATAGATTTAAAAGCGAAAAATTGGCAAAAAGTTCAGACAAAGGATTTTAAAACAGAGGAGCTTCCATGTTGAAAACCAAAATGTGATAAGCCGTGATAAGATTTCATCTGGATCATAATCGTCCATTCAAAAAAAAAAAATTTAAGATTATAATCTGCGGGAGCCTTGATTTAGCACGGCAATTTGAATCACATTACTATTTTCAACTTAAAGTCATCCCTTGATAGAAACCTCATTTATGAATGATCCCTTAAAAGATTTTAAAAATACATTTCATTATCAATTCCTCATGTCACTATGGGATAAACTCGAAATTTTTTTCCAAAAATTATTTTATTGGCTTAGTTGAAAGGTCTTTATCCAAGGAATCAGAATCTATTTTAATGTTGGCCCAAAGTGCAGTAGTGCTGGAGATATAGCCCGAAATGTATTTTTATGACTCTATAGTTAATATTTTCAATTTATCAGAACTTTTTCTTGTCTCAACCAATTTTCATGAAATTTTTTTTCAAATGACAGATATAAGCCGAAACTTTAATATGAATATCAGTCACATAAGTTTTACTTCATGGAAAGTGCTTAAAAATTGACGAAACTTCAAATGTTAGTAGTACGACACACTTTTTTTGAGTACGTGGATTTCTGATGCATTTAAATGTTTTTCTTTTTTCATTAAAATATAGCCCTTTACCAGGTCTACAAGAAAAATATCCCTTTCAAGGTTTAAAATTATATTTATACATCAAAAAATTGAGATTTTTTCAAAAAATTTACGCTTTTTTACTATGTTTTGACTTCAATTGACTATAACTGCATATTCCAAGTGAGTGGATAGACAAGTTTTAACTGTTTTATATAGTCCTCACTTGTATCTTTCTAAAACTGTGAAAACCTAGAAAAAAGTACCGCCAAATTTTCAACTTTGAACCATTTGAAACATGTCATCTGCATGCACCTCAAAAATCTTTTTCAACTTTTTTCATCAAAATCATGTCCAAACTTGACAATTTGAGTTTTTGGCTTGGACTTGGGCCATTTTTATTTGAAATGTCTTCATTTTCCATTTTCAATGAGATGTAAATGACTTTAAATACACTATATGCTTAACAAAAAGTATTTGTATTACCTTTTATGTTAAGCTGCTTAAATTACATTTCCAACGATATATAAAATGTCATATATGAGTACAATTTCCCTGAATAATGTTGAAAATAGGAAAATGCGCTAAAAACTGAAAAATTACTCAAAATTCGAGGTGTTTGAAGAACCATACTTTACATTTTTGCTTAAAACTATATGAAATCTTAAGTATATATAATAAATTTGATACTGTTGGAAAGATAAAAGTACTGACCAGTGTTGCATTCTGGCTATTTGTCTGGATCAGATAAATTCTGAGACAGAAATTTCTTCATTAAGATCGATTCTATATGAAGATAGAAAATCTAATCTACACAAAAATTATTTCTATATAAAGATTCGATGTAGATGTCTATAATTCTACATTCTTCTCTGATGTAGACCTGGAAAAAATGTAGAATTGTAGACATCTACATCGAATCTTTATGTAGACAGAATCTTTATGTACAAATAATCTTTGTGTAGATTAGATTTTTTCTATCTTCATGTAGAATCGATCTTTATGAAGAAAGTTTCTTAGCTAGACAAAAACTATTGAAGAATCTACATTCTTCATCTAGTGTAGACATCTACATTTGCAACACTGGTACTGACCATAAGATAAACACAAATTTTGAGCTGAGAATTTACCCAGGGCACTGCTAGCGTATGGGAAACATGTCATTATTACTATATAAAATAGTTAAAACTTGTCTCTACACTCACTTGGAATATGCAGTTATAGTCAATTGAAGTCAAAACATAGTAAAAAAGCGTAAATTTTTTGAAAAAATCTCAATTTTTTGATGTATAAATATAATTTTAAACCTTGAAAGGGATATTTTTCTTGTAGACCTGGTAAAGGGCTATATTTTAATGAAAAAAGAAAAACATTTAAATGCATCAGAAATCCACGTACTCAAAAAAAGTGTGTCGTACTACTAACATTTGAAGTTTCGTCAATTTTTAAGCACTTTCCATGAAGTAAAACTTATGTGACTGATATTCATATTAAAGTTTCGGCTTATATCTGTCATTTGAAAAAAAATTTCATGAAAATTGGTTGAGACAAGAAAAAGTTCTGATAAATTGAAAATATAACCTTTCAAATAAGCCAATAAAATAATTTTTCGGAAAAAAAATTTCGATTTTATCCTAAGTGCATGTGTGGCATGAGACTAGCAAAATGAAGCACCAATAAGGCCCCTTACTTATTCTTTTTCCGTCGCCTAAACTCCTGATGATGTTTGGCATAATTATATCTGATTTGTCTGCAAATGGAAGAAAGAGGTTGTAGGTGGCCAGACTAATAAACTTAATAATTTTTAAGGAATGGATGGAATGGGATGAGATGATGAAATTGTAAAATGAATTAAAATTTTGTTTCATAAAAATTTTTTCATTCTTTATTTCGGTAATATTTGATGTTGATAAAGAGATATAATAAAGAGAGAAGTAGGTACCTAGCATTTAAAAAAAATCACATCCAGGTCAATAATAAGAACAGAAGGATTACAATAATGAAAAAAATTAGATCAATGCTCTAGATTTCAATATTATAAACGTTATTTACACAGACACATACAACATAAAACATTTAGTTCACTCACCTAGCTGTTGGAACTTGACGAAATTCACGATTTTCATTATTTTCACTTTCAGGCTCGCATAAAACAGTGAAAGCTTTTTTATTGAGTTTCATTAATCCATTTCCAATATCGTGACGTGCACTAATGTTCCAATTACTGAAATTATCACTCATCATACTGTTGTTATTGATATTTGTTGTCTCAGCTACTGATTCAATCGTCGAGTCAGATAGATCGCAAGAGTTATCACAGTTGGTTGTCTTATCGCTGTTAACATTATTATTTAACATTTTTGATAAATTACCAGCAAATCTCATCGTAAATTATTTCGCCTTTACTAACAAATCGATACAATATTACGATTCCTTTCCTATGTCACTACCGGTTGGGGGTTCCCTTACTCAAATTATTTTTATTATTTCTTTCGTTAGGCAAAAAATTTTGAAGTGGAACAAATCAATCAACAACCCTTTTTTAAGCTGTATCGTTGTTATATCGGAAAAATACTACAATGAAGCTCTTGCCAAAACTATGAATGAATTCTCATTTGTTATTTGAAACTAAACCAAATTATTTTTAAGCACACTTTTGCGGAATGTTATTTTCACTTTGCTCTGATGGGTGCCAATTGATTCCAAAAATTTAATAGACACAATGTTATGCTGTGTCACTTTAAAGTCATGTCACAATCTAATTTTATCACTGAGCAATGAGGTATTTTAAAAAAAAAACAATAATTTACTGATTGTACCACCAAAAATGCGCTTCCTTTCTCGTGAGGATAGTTTTGAAAATGAATTTTTTAATATAAGTATTGCGAAATAATTTTTTTTCTTCGTGCAGAAATGATAGAAATACTCTTGACAAGGAATTGACTTGCTGTTTTATACACACCCAAAATTTCTACTGCTGATCCTACTACTAATTAAAGTTTGTTTGATTTTTGCGTCGAAAAATTCTCACAACATAAAAATGTTAAATTTCACTACAGAAAATTATTCTTGTTTGCTATGATTTTGCCTCTTTTAAGCTTGATTTTTTGATAAGAAGCATGGACTGGTTAAGTAAATCTTGAGATTTATTAATCAAAAACACTATAGCACGCTGCTACATACGATATAGGGGCAAAATAAAAAGCACAGTCGGTGATAATGCATAATTCATGAATGCTACTGATTAAAGAAGTAATTTCCATTAGCCAAAAGAAAGAAAATCAGCTTTTATGACACTAATAGTAATCATTTGCCCTTGTATATAAAATTATAATATTCCTAAACAGCACAACTTGTACTACTTTACTCCTTTCACGTTTGGTTTATTTTTGTTATATTCCTAAGTCCTTGAATCCATTATCCCAATTTTCCATTTATACTTTCAGACACGCAGAAATCACAAGACAAGCTTTTGGACTCAGTTTTAGTTCTTCTTTTGCGACTTTCTCGAGCAACCGCCAAATATTAACTGAAAGCTCTCTCATTCTTTTTGATAATTTTTTTTATTGTTTGCCGACTTTATTCTAGCAATTCATTCAGCTATTGAAAAATCTTTTTCATTTTTTTTTTTTTTTCATATTTCGCTTTTATTTTTCATTCAAACTAACAGCAAAAAAAGAGAATGAGAACAAGAACAGCCAGACATCAAGCATAAATGCATGAAGGAAAAAATATTTCCATAAGTAGGAAAAGTCAGGTTGAGTTGCTTTGATTGTTTGCAACATAAAAAGAGGACTGAGGGAAGAGCAATGAATTTCTGTTTCTGATTTTTTTTTCTTCTTTCTATGCACCATAAAAGTTTGAACTTTTTGTTGTTTGTTGTTTTTTTTTGTTTTGAAAAGGGATGAATACATTCATAAAGTAAAGCTTTTAAGTTATTTATTTAAAATCCCATAGCCCAATCAAATCCGGTCCAGTCACGATGCTTGATAGGTCTCTTTTTAATATGTTGTCTGTCATTGTGTTGTCTTCGAGGTCTTTAACTTATGACATAATGCAAAAAATAAATACTTTTTAGACCTCCCCAGTCACAAAATGTGTATGAAGAAAAATTTATTTTGTTTAAGCTGTCACAAAAAGTTTACTATTAACCAGATTCCTTGAAAAAATAACATAATCATCCCTTGCTCATAATGCTTTATGTTGCTTAAAAAAGTTATAATTGTACAGGCTCAAATAAAAACTTTCATGTCGATATTTTATTTTAGTTTCTTTTGCATTTCCCTTGTTGATTTAAATGAGGTAAAATGAAATTAAATACAAAATAATTTGTAAGCTTAAAGGAGGGTAAAGAAATATCTTTAAAAAAAATAGTAACCAAAAGTTTTAAGTTCCATTTTTATAGAGTTCTGAATAGAAATAAAACAAATAAATTCTTTGTAATGGTGGGGGGTCGTTCACTTTTGACGTCCGAAATTAACGGTCATTTTTCAAAAAAGAACAATAGATTTCCAGGAATTTCTAATGTTTTTTTCTTGCTACCCCCCCCCCCCCCCCCTTCCCCCTGGACGTCATAAGTGAACGGCCCCTAGTGAAAATAAAAAAAAACAAACAAAATGTTTGACATCCCCCTTTTTAAAAACAGTTATGCTGAGTTATGCAATAAAATTTTGATTTTATCTATTAATCGAAATCGATGTGCCATGAATAAATTCTTAATATTCAATTTCAATTTTCCTCACTTCAACTGTTACTTCCTACCTCTAATTTTTATTTATAACAAGTTTTTGCATGCATCAACAAGTATTATTCGCGTAAAATTCACATGTACCTCACAACTTTAAAATACTACATTTTCTCCAACAAGTATGTGTTCTCTACATGCATATGTATATGCTTTCCTATGGATATAATTGCATGATCAATTTCATTATATTCTTTTGTTTTTCCATTTTTTCCACCCTTCACTAGGAAGTCAATTGTTTCTAAATTATCTACCCCGTGCAATTCGTTGTTACTTTGTCTACAATGTATATATATACGAATGGCAAGTTTGGAACCGATTTCTTACTTAATCGAATCATGTCCATTGTTTCTCATAAAATATAAAAATTCTAAATGTATAAGCATCGCCAATTCCGTTAGCAGGTGAATCTCGTATCCTGTGACCTCTCAAATTGAGTCCTTTCAATAATATTGACGGCTTCATTACATGCTTACATTAGATATTCATGGTAAAAATGCTCGATTATCAAATAATGGATTAACTGCCAGTAGACCGAAGGCATTTTAATGAATTTAATGATGCAATTTTATTCAGCAACCGTCCGTTGAGGCAAAGAAGCTAATCGAAGTCATAATTGAAAAAGTCGTGGAGCATTGGAATGGATCAATTGAAATCGGTGTGACTGGAGCTCGACCAGAAAATTTGACACTTGCATTTTAAAACATATCTAGAAAATTTAAATGATAAAGAATTCTAATATAAATATAAAATCAATATATTTTTGAAAATAGCCTTTTATGATCGAAACCAAAAATGCTTTAAATTGCATTTTAAAACATATCTAGGTATTGTAAATGATAAAGAATGCTAATATAGATATAAAATCGATTTTTTTTTTGAAAATAGCCTACTATGATCGAAACCAAAAATGCTTTAAATTGCATTTTAAAACATATCTAGGTATTATAAATGATAAAGAATGCTAATATAAATATAAAATCGATATTTTTTTTAAAATAGCCTACTATGATCGAAACCAAAAATGCCTAAAATTGCATTTTAAAACGTATCTAGGTATTGTAAATGATAAAGAATGCTAATATAGATATAAAATCGATTTTTTTTTGAAAATAGCCTACTATGATCGAAACCAAAAATGCTTTAAATTGCATTTTAAAACATATCTAGGTATTATAAATGATAAAGAATGCTAATATAAATATAAAATCGATATTTTTTTGAAAATAGCCTACTATGATCGAAACCAAAAATGCTTTAAATTGCATTTTAAAACATATCTAGGTATTGTAAATGATAAAGAATGCTAATATAGATATAAAATCGATTTTTTTTTGAAAATAGCCTACTATGATCGAAACCAAAAATGCTTTAAATTGCATTTTAAAACATATCTAGGTATTATAAATGATAAAGAATGCTAATATAAATATAAAATCGATATTTTTTTGAAAATAGCCTACTATGATCGAATCCAAAAATGCTTTAAATTGCATTTTAAAACATATCTAGGTATTATAAATGATAAAGAATGCTAATATAGATATAAAATCGATTTTTTTTTTAAAAATAGCCTACTTTGATCGAAACCAAAAATGCCTTTAATTGCATTTTAAAACCTATGTAGGTATTATAAATGATATAGAATGCAAATGTTTACATAAAATCGATATTTTTTTTTTGAAAAAAGCCTACTATGATCGAAACCAAAAATGCCTTTAATTGCATTTTAAAACGTATAAAGGTATTATAAATGATAAAGAATGCTAATATAAATATAAAATTGATATTTTTTTGAAAATAGCCTACTATGGTCGAAACCAAAAATGCCTTTAATTGCATTTTAAAACGTATAAAGGTATTATAAATGATAAAGAATGCTAATATAAATATAAAATCGATATTTTTTTGAAAATAGCCTACTATGATCGAAATCAAAATGCTTTAAATTGCATTTTAAAACATATGTAGGTATTATAAATGATAAAAAATGCTAATGTTTCTATAAAATTGATATTTTTTTTAAAATAGCCTACTATGATCGAAACCAAAAATGCCTAAAATTGCATTTTAAAACGTATCTAGGTATTATAAATGATAAAAAATGCTAATAAGTATAGATATAAAATCGATATTTTTTTAAAAATAGCCTACTATGATCGAAACCAAAAATGCTTTAAATTGCATTTTAAAACATATCTAGGTATTATAAATGATATAGAATGCAAATGTTTACATAAAATCGATATTTTTTTTTTTTGAAAAAAGCCTACTATGATCGAAACCAAAAATGCCTTTAATTGCATTTTAAAACGTATAAAGGTATTATAAATGATAAAGAATGCTAATATAGATATAAAATCGATATTTTTTGAAAATAGCCTACTATGATCGAAACCAAAAATGCTTTAAATTGCATTTTAAAACATATCTAGGTATTATAAATGATATAGAATGCTAATGTTTACATAAAATCGATATTTTTTTTTTGAAAAAAGCCTACTATGATCGAAACCAAAAATGCCTTTAATTGCATTTTAAAACGTATAAAGGTATTATAAATGATAAAGAATGCTAATATAAATATAAAATCGATATTTTTTTGAAAATAGCCTACTATGATCGAAATCAAAATGCTTTAAATTGCATTTTAAAACATATGTAGGTATTATAAATGATAAAAAATGCTAATGTCTCTATAAAATTGATATTTTTTTTAAAATAGCCTACTATGATCATAACCAAAAATGCCTAAAATTGCATTTTAAAACGTATCTAGGTATTATAAATGATAAAAAATGCTAATATAGATATAAAATCGATATTTTTTTAAAAATAGCCTACTATGATCGAAACCAAAAATGCTTTAAATTGCATTTTGAAACATATCTAGGTATTATAAATGATAAAAAATGCTAATGTTTCTATAAAATTGATATTTTTTTTAAAATAGCCTACTATGATCGAAACCAAAAATGCCTAAAATTGCATTTTA